GGAGTATTAAGGGTTTTATTAATCCTTATAGCTAGTTTTTATATAGCCTTATAGTACTACGCGGTAAGGGCGTTATCTCTCGCGTTAAGGGAACCGGAAGTATTAGGGGCGGCCTAGGTATAATAGGTAGTATAGATATATTTTTTAAGGGCGCCGAGTAAAGAAAATTTCGATCGCTATATAGATATAATTAGTTAAAGGCTTTAAGTATTCTTATAAATAGAAATAGACTTATATTAAAGTATAAATCGCTATTTTCTTCTATATACCTATAAAAAAACTTCTCCTATAGCTATAATCACCTTACTAGTCTTTAAAGAGTATTAGTAAGCTATAACGTATTAGATTAGTGTATATACTTACTCTATTAGTCTTAAACTCCGGCAGGGTACTATAACGCTTACCGCTATCCTCCCCTTAAATATACTACTAGAAAGTATTAGTTAATCGGTAGTTAGAGAGTATATTATTAAAAAACTCTATAGCGGTCTATAAAGTATAATAGGATAGTTACTTTCTGGATAGGAATCGTTTTCTAATCGTTTCTTAATCGTTTCCGATTACCCGCTATTAAAAATAAGAAGATATACCTAATAATATTATAAAATATAAGGAATTTAATATAGTTAATAAAAAAAGTATATAGGAATTAATATTATAATACTGCTAAAATACATATTATGAATAAATAGAGTAGTAATAGTAGGAAAAAGACACGAATAGGTAAAAGAGAGGAAGAGCACGATAACGTGTTTAAACACGACTCGTGAAATTAGCGGAAACGTTTCCCAACGTTTCCCCATTACCCGAGCTAATCAGAATTCACCCCACACCTACCCTCAGCTTAACTTTTCATCAGCCACGCCCCACACCTACCCTCAGCCCAGCCACCGACTCCAACATCAGTTTATATATAACCTTATTAACGACGACTACAGCGACACTAAGCGACCATAGTAAGGCAAACCAAACGAAGATGAGCGGTTACTAACCCTACGCCGCCGCCTATCCCTGCGCGCCGTAAGCACCACTTACGAACAAAACAGAAAACAAGAAGCGACACTAAACAATAAACAGCAAAAAGGGAAGCAGCCCCTCCCCTCCACCAACAAAGCAAACCCCAATCCACACGCAAAATAACACGCCCCACCCCCACATCTCAAGAGCCTCCCACGAACACGACGACAACCACCAACACAAACACAGGAAAAGCACACAAAAGCACACCACAGCAAAAAAAAAAAACTCGATCGCCTCGACTGCCCACTCAACAGACCGCCAACCAACCTCCACAGGAGAAAAAGACCCAAGAGAAACCCAAGTCAGAAAGACCCCCCAAGCTCCACCACACTCTGCAACTTGAACACAATCTCAGCACAAAACGCCACCCACTCAACAAGACCAAGCCCAACAACCGACACCCAACACCCGAACCAAAACCAAAGAACACAAAAGACCCGGAAGCCGAAGACCCACACCCACCCCATGGCCAGCGCAGCAAGAGACACACACACCCAAAAAGACTGCCCCCGCAACACCACGCCCGACCCAGACAACAGCAAAAGCGCCAGCAGAACCCCCGGCGCGAGGTCCCCAACCACCGACACCACGGCGCTACACCCCACCAACATACCCACCAGAAGGACCCACCCCACCCCAATCAACGGCAACAACACGGACACACCCACGCCACACCCCAAACGCAGGAGCGTGACCACCTCCCCCACGGGGAACCTCACGCAGACAAGCTTAACCTACCCACCATACAGCACCAAGATCCCACACCACAACAAAAAGATGACCAAGCACGACCCGGCGAACCCCAAAATCACCACCGGCAGGCGCGATCCCCACCCCACCTAGCACGCAGCCGACACAACAACACCCAGCCAGACCACGAAATCTCCAACTCCCCCACACACCCCAACAAATACTCGCACAAAGCACCCAAAGAAACAACCCCGTCAGAACCGGCTTCGCAACCGCCCAAAACCAGGACACACCAGACAAAAAAACCGCGTAGGAAGCACACGCCCAGGGCGCCCCCCAAACCAGCAGCACCGGCGCCAGCGCCCAGCCCCAACCAAAAAACCCAACAAACACAACAGACCCACCAAACCACCGGACCAAACCCCCGCCGGGACAGAGCACCACGACACAAGCCACCCGCACGAGAGCAGCCGCTTCGCAAGTGCCGCAGAGGAGAACCACCCCCCGCACCCCAGACCCCAGCCACCGCGAGAGCCACCCGCGAAACCGCCCACACCCGACCCAGGAACAGCAGTTCAACAAGCAAAGCCACGGGCGCCACAGCCCGCGACGACACCACAAGACCCCACCTGCCAATTCAAACCGCCGAACGTCCAGCCCTCGAAGAAGTTCGCACAACCACCGCCGGGTCCATCGACAAAAAATAGCGGGACAAGGAAGAAAAAACCCCACCCAACAGCGACTCCGCACAAGCAAACAAACAACGAGGCCGACACCCCTCGGAACAAAAACACACCAAAGAACACACACCCAACGACCAGGCCCAACCCCACACCCACAACCCCCAGAACCACGAAATCGTACACCAGACGCAACACCAACGCGCAATCCGCCGCCACAAAAAGCACCAACACCGCCAAGCGCTCAGCGCTGCCGGAAACAAAAAAAACACCCAGCACAGAAGCGACAAACCACGGCAGAAGCAGATGATAAACATCAAAAGCACCGACATCGCCACCAAACGCCCCACCACCGAACACGAAGGGAACATCCTACAACAAACAGCCCGGAACAACAACACCCAACCGACACACATCCCGCATCGGAATGGCCACCAACCCAACCCGCACGACAGCAAGGGAAAACTTCACCAAAAGACGACCAAGAACGACACGACTCCCACGACGCGTAAGCCGGCGCCCCCCCACGCAACCGAGCAACGAGCGACCCAGGAGAAAGCCCGCATCCCCCAAGTCCCAGGCCAACGCGGAACCGACCGCACCCCCACAGACCACCGGCCACCACGGAAAGCCCGTAACAGGCCAGACGACCCCAACAACACAACAAACCACAAGAACACAGACCACCAACGCGGAAGCGGGCACGAGCACCCAGGCTGGAAATACGACAAAAACCAAGACGACGCTGGCGACGCGAGCCACCCGGAAACCAACATCAAAATAGCCAAGCCTAACACAAACCCCAAAGAGAAAACCAAGCGAAAAAGAAACGGCAAGTCATCGGGCAAGAAAACTCGCAAAACAAACCACAAGCACAAGGCCAAACGCAGGTTCGAGCACCAAAACAAACAGAGCCACTCAAACAAAGACCACACCACAGAAGACGAGAAACACAAGCCCCCCGCCACCAAACATCCCCAACAACCAAAGCCAAAGGCGAGCAGCGCATCCGACCTGGCCCTAGCCACGAACAAAGGCGCGCAAACACAAACAACCAGCACGACGAACAACCGAAGAAGAAGAATCCAGCCCCAACGCGCCACAACCTCGCACAAACCAAAACCCTCGACGAAAAGCCCAACCAGCACCGCCCAAACCACCCAGGAAAATCACGCCGACACAGAAACCCACAGCCACCCACCGGACAGGACCACCGGCAAGACTGCGACGACAGCCCCAACGAAACCGACAAACCAACACGACGACGAAGACCAAGAAAAATCACACGACAACAGCAACACAAACAGCCCCAACGACACAAAACACCAAACCACCAAAACGCAACACGAAAACAACAGCCACCTCGAAACCAAGGCCGACGCCAAAACCGAACTCGTCGAAGAGACCACGACAAAGCCGCCCCCCACCCAAGACGAAGCCAAGCGACCGCACGACCTGGGCAACGACGACACGGCAACCCCCAACCACACCCGCCACCCGCGCAACCTCCTCCACACCACAAAACACCGCGACCACAACCCGCAGTACAGGAACCACCACAAGAAGAACATGCGGCGCACCCAGGAACACAGCATCACGAACATAGCAAAGCAACACGACAACAACAAGGACCGCCTCGGCGAGCCACAGAGCAAGCCAAAGCTCACCAAACCCACGAAGCGGCAGCCTCCCAGCAAGGGCCCCCGCGGCGAGAGGGGCACGGACGTGGAAATACACGCGCCCGAAAAAAGCGACACGCAGGGAGCCGACCGGAGAAACGACGCCGACCGACACGGAACCCAAACAGGTCACGCGCCCGAACCAACCGACAAAACAGGCACCTAAACGGCCGGCATCAAAAAACAAATCACCGCACCAGACCAGATGGCCAAGCCCCCCGAAACCGACCCCCAAGACAAAGACCAACAATGCCAACCGGCGGAGAAGGCCCAAAGGAAAAGAACAGAACGGACGGCCTACACGTCACACCACGACGGCCAGAAAGAGACGCCTGCAGTCGTGCATGCCACGCGGCAGACCACCCAGGCCGACAAGGACCACGAAAACACCACGCCGACCAGGCAAAACAAAAACGCGCATAACCGCCCCAAGAGGTCTCCCAGCAGAAGCAGAACACCCCCAGCAACACACCGACCAGCCACGCCCCCAACCCACAGAGACAACGACCCAACACCGGAACAACAAACTCCAAATCGCACAAGCTACCAGAGAAACCAAAAAACGAACACGACCAACGACACCACCAAAACCACACAGCCAATCTACCCCAAACAGACAACGGCACAACTGGACCACACAGGCAAAAACAGCAAGGAAGCGGAACCGCGAAATATCCCACCCGAAACCAGCGACCAAAACGAACAGCAGATTAAAGTCGCGGCATGAGACGGAACAGACCACCCCTCGACAAGCGGGCAGGGACCCAAACCATTCAACCCTCGCCGGCACGAGAACCGCGACAACCCGCGACCGCACAAGAACTAAAGAAAACAAACCGACAAACCCAGTCACCACCCGCCCATCGGAGCCGCCTGGACCGAAGCCCCAAAGGGGACGTACTACGGACAAGCAGCAGGCAAGCACAAGGTCTACCACAACTAGCACCATACAAAACCACAAGGAAAAAGGGTACTCAGCCGAAAACCGACAACCCCACGCAAGGACGACCCAGACACGCCGAACAAGCAAACAAACCCCGAGAAAGAGAACAAAAAGAGCAACCCCGTGGCAGACAAAGAAGCAAAGAGGGACGTCAAGAACTGAACAACAGGGGACACCGCAGTCATCGAGTCCCAGCCCCGAACAGGGAAGGAGAACAAAAACTACAACCCGACGCGCAAGCTGCGACACGCAAGCCACCGGCTCCGCGACAGCAACCCGCACCAGGAGAACCCAAAGCCACACGAACGAAACACGCACGCCTACGACCCAAAGGCACAAGACCCCCAACACCCGCCCCCGCAGCACAACCGCGGCAAAAAAAACGACCCCACAAAGGCGCACCGAAGCCCAAAAAAGAACCAGCCACCGCCCAACAACCCCGCCAACCCAACACACCGCGCGCAGACCAGAAACCACATCCACCACAAGCCAACACCGCGGCAAGCGCCGAAGGACCCACAGACCACGCCCGACCAGCGGGCAAGCGAGGAAGACCAGTAACACCAGCAGCAGCAGCAGAAGAACCAACAACAACAACAACAACAGCAGAAGCAACAACCCAAACACACCCGGGGGAACAAGACCACGACCGCCTCCTGCCCCAACACCAACGGCGAGAGGACGGGCGAAGAACACCCAACGGGAAAAGGCAAGTAACGGGAACAAAGGGAGAAGGCGGGCAGAGCGCACCCACAGGAGTGGCAACGGCGCAAGCCCAGATACGAAGACGCAAACGAAGAGGAGCAACAACAACGTCCACAAGCCGGCAAGACACGCAACGGACGCGGACCACCGGGACTGACCAGAGGTACAGAAGATGAGAAAATAAAGAAAGATCGAAGAAGAACAAGAGGAGGGAGATGGAAGAGCCAGACAGCAGACGAAACCAACCCAGCAAAGGGCAACCAAAGGAGCGCCCCCGCCCGCCCCAGAACGCCACAAGCACCCCAAAAATCCCCGCCCGCGCCGCCCCAACAAACCCGGAAAGACGCAAGATACCAACCAAACCACACCCAGCCGCCCCCGGGCCACAACACAAAAGGATGGGAGGAACAACCACCGACACAGCGACATCAAAAACCTCAAAACCTCCACAGAATCACCCAACCAAAATGAGCCTGAACGTCAAACGGAAACGCACACGAACAAAGAACATGCCACAGGGCAGAAACAAAGACACACCTCTCAAGCGAGAAAAAGAAAAAAAACGTGCCATAAGAATACAAACACGCATACCAAACGAAACCTAAAGCCACACGCAGCAGCAAAAAACGCAACAAACAACCAACAAAAAGACACCACCGTCACCACGACAAAGGGACAAAAGATCCCACTCCACGGAAAAGTAAACCACAAAACTCGTCACATCATCGCCAGCGAAGAAACAAAAAGCCACACAATCCCTCAAAACACAACACACCCAACCCCACCCCCCCACCACCAGCAAAACAACAAAAGCCAAAACGAGATGCAAAAGACCAACCTGCCCGACTTACGACAAGAGACGAAACACATCAGAGACGACAACACTTGCAGGGGAGCGCCGCCACCCCCACCAAAAAGGCAACGCAGAGAAAAAACCACCGGTCCAACGGACCGCAAGATGGTCGTCAACGCTCTGAATTCAGACGTAAAGGCTTACATGGCCGACTTTGAGGGTGAGTTCCAGAATCCTGACCTCCCGAGTTGAGTTGAGATACCTGTCGCCTTTTCCGTCTGGTCTCTCCTCTAAAACTAAGCCACAGACTCCAACGGCCCTACATGGCAGAACATGATCCAAGGACAAGTCAACTTGTACGATGCGATTCGGCGTCAGGTCGACTTCAACCTCGGCCCTAAAGAGTACAAGTTGCGAACAGACCGGCCGCCGCCTACTCTGCTGGCTCGCACGCGCGGGTGGCATCTTGTCGAGAAGCACTTTACCGTCAACGGGGAACGCATGTCGGGCGCCTTGTTCGACTTTGGGTTGTATTTCTTCCACAACGCGAAGGAGCTGGTTTCCAGGGGTGCCGGTCCTTACTTTTACCTGCCAAAGATGGAATCGCACCTCGAAGCTAGGCTGTGGAACGACGTGTTCGTCGTGGCGCAGGACTACATCGGTATTCCCAGGGGGACGGTAAGGGCCACCGTCTTGATCGAGACTATCAACGCAGCATTCGAGATGGATGAGGTACGTTTGACAACCCGCAGGGCCACAGAAGATCAGAGGAGAGAAAAGAAAAAAAAAAAAAAAAAAGAAAGAAAGAAAGGAAAACAACTTCATCTCTAACCTCTGGTAGATCATCTACGAACTCCGCGACCACAGCGCCGGCCTAAACTGCGGCCGATGGGACTACATCTTCAGCTTCATCAAGCAGTTCCGAAACCACCCGGGCTTCGTGCTCCCTGACCGCAGCGACGTGACCATGACGGTGCCCTTCATGGACGCCTACGTACGCCTCCTGGTCGCGACGTGCCACCGGCGCGGCGTGCACGCCATGGGCGGCATGGCGGCGCTGATCCCGCGCAAGGACGACGCCGCCGCCAACGAAAAGGCCATGGCCAGCGTCCGCGCCGACAAGCTCCGCGAGGTGCGCGCCGGGCATGACGGCACGTGGGTGGCGCACCCTGCGCTGGCGTCCATTGCCTCCGAGGTGTTCGATGAGTACATGCCCACTGCGAATCAGACGTTCCGTAGGACCACGCCAGAGGTGACGAGGCAGGATCTTCTGAATCCGTCGGTGCCGGGGAAGACTACCGAGGACGGGATTCGGAAAAATGTGCAGGTTTGTTTGCTGTATATGGAGGCGTGGCTGCGTGGGGTTGGGTGTAGTGCCATCAACTATCTTATGGTGAGTCTTGTCTTTCCTCTGCGTCGGACCAGAAACCCTTTCTTGGTTTCTTTCTTTCTTTCTTTCTTTCTTCTTTCTAACCGACAGTCGTTGTGCAGGAGGACGCAGCAACTGCAGAGGTATCACGAAGCCAGCTTTGGCAATGGGCACGACACGGCGCCACCACGGCCGAGGGAAACATAATCGATAAGAACAAGGTGCTCAGCGTGCTTGACGACCAGACCAACGAGCTTCTCTCCTCTGCATCTAAGGGAAACAAGTTTGAACGCGCAGCCACGTATCTCCGGGATGAGATCACTGGGAACACATACTCCGACTTCCTGACAACGTAAGTGAACTTGCACGACTGAGCTTAGATGTCGTTGGAGTGGTCTTTTCTTCGAGACGGAACTAACCTGGAATACACAGACTTCTCTATGACGATATAACAACTATCACTTCAAGTTGGGAGCCCTGAGTTGTGTTGTATGTTGCATTGCAGCCACATAGACGGCATCACGACAGTATAATGATCAAAGTCGTTTCGAAGATTCCCCGTAATAATCAAGCAAAAAGGCAATCAACTTGCTATTCATTTCAATAATCACTTTTATGCTTTACTGTCGCGCACATGCATTTACAGGCAACGTAGACTTGACAGTTATAATTTATGATGCTGGCCATGAGCAACTTTTACCCCTGAGCACTCGACGACCACGCCGAGAATCTAGCCCACCCACCCCTCGTCCAAGGACCAACTTTCAGTCTTCTGATCTTTTCCCCTGGACATGCTACTCCGTTCTTACACTACACTTTGGCAAAAATGTTCTTGTTGGTCCGGAACTTGAGGAAAGCAACAAGGCCGGCCCCAGCAAGGGCAAGAGAGCCGGCGTAAAACATGGCCGGGCGATAGGCATGCAAGCCTTCTTCGGCTCCGCCATACGCATCCAGCAAATATCCCGCAATGGGTGCGCCCTAGGAGGTGTCAGTGTCACGCGTAAGAGAGGGGAAATGCGTGGCAAAAGAAGAACATGAAGGGACAGGGTCACAGGGAGCTACACACCATCAGGTATCCTCCGCCCCATCCCGTAACCACCATGCCCATGGCGACAGACACCCGTGCCGACCCGAAAGTGTTACCCACGACGGTCGGCATGGTGGAGAAGAACCCGCCGTTGGAAGCGCCGTTGACCACGACGAACACAGCCAGGGGGGCCAGCGTGGTGGAGACGGGCCACAGCGCGAGCATGCTGACGGCCGTGAGCAAGAAGGATGCGAGAAGCGTGTTCAGCGGGCCGAGCCTGTCGCAGAAGAAACCGCAGAGAATCCTGCCGACGGCGGACGAGAAGTTGAAGCCGGCTAGGAGGCCGGCACCCGTGGTCGACGAGAGGCCCATGGACCGACTGTAGAGGGGCACGAAAAAGGGCGGGACGAAAAGGGGGAAGGTGCCGACCGCACCGGCTGCGAAGACTAGGAGGAAGCCCGGGTCTCTAAAGAGGCGCCTACATATACAGTCGTCAGATTTGCAACATGAGAACACGCCACGACGGTGCAGCAGTGGGAAAAGGGGAGGCGGGGGGCTGCTCACCATTCTACCAAGGCCGTCGTGCGAATAGGGGTTCGTTCTTTGATCATCCACGCAGCGGGGAGACCTGTGACAAGGGTCGCGAGACCTAGGACACGATACGTCCATGCCGGCCCGTATTTCTGGATGAGCGAATCTAGCACGAGACTGTTGAGGGCACCACCGAGACCGCCCCCTGCGAAGACGATACCGTTCGCAAGGCCTCTCTTGCGGTTGAAATACTGAGCTGGAGCGACGGAGACGGTCTGGGCGAGATTAGCACGTTGTCTCTCGTGACTGTCATAGTTGGGAAGAATTGGCTTACCATAAAACACAAGCTGAAAAGCAAGGGAGCACATGGCCAGGTTAGACCGGTGCATAGGAAAAAAAAAAGGGGGGGGGGCTTTTCCTTCAATACGACCATCGACTCCGAGAAACCCTCACTCACCTCATCCCCAAGCCCAGCAACACACCAACAGTAGCAAACAACCCCCCGACATTACTGACGGCAAAGCTCGCGGTAATCTCAGCCAACCCGATGAGGAAGATCCCCAGAAGACCGGTGTACCGGGTGCCGATCCATCGAACAACCCGCGCGTTGACGATGGCCAGCGCGCTGATGAGGGCGGCAGACAGCGAGCCCACGAAGGCGAGGGTGCCGGGCGACCCGACGCCGTCGGCCACGAGGGCGCCCTGGATGACGCCCCAGCTGTAGCTGGTGCCGACGAACCACCACGTCACGAGGGAGCAGCACGATACCACGACCCAGCCGTAGCCTCCGTCGGGGACGGTGCTATCCGCAGCCCGGGAGGCGGCGAGGACGGGGTCGGGGTCGGTTCCGGTGTCTCGCGGGTTTGTTGTTTCCTGGATAACGTCGCGCTGGGTGACGACGCTGCTTGGGGGGATGGTCTCGAGGCGGATTGCGGTGGTGGTGGACGTAGCGGCTGCCATTGCCATTGCGCAGGGCCGGGGTCTGGTTATTCTCTGATATCTCAAGTTCTTAACTGCCAGGGCCCAGGGGTTGGGTTCTCTGATGTTTTAAGAGGGCCTGCGATTAGCCTGAGTTTCTATCTTCCTTTGCTAAGAACAGAAAAAAAAAGAAAAAAACAACAACAACAAAAGGTCCACTGGAATCTGACGAGTGAAGTCGGAGTAGAGTCATCCCCGGCTCCTTCGGCCCCTCCGGTGAGACGAGTGCCGAGATGGGATTAGGCTGTAAGAATCGGCTTATTCCGGGCATCTCATCTTATTTTCTGTACTTATATATATTCCCAATACCCTGGTCCTTGGAACACAAGTTACACACATCAACCACTTAGACCTCAACTTTCTTCACATCAATGGTCGATTTCCACATGCACATCTTCAGTCCCAGCCAGGACTCATTCATTTCGTCAGTCTTATTCCAAAACCTCTTACTCTGCTAAAAGCACAGTAAAACTTCATGTTGCCATCGCCTGGCTGCACGGGTCCATCGTCAGTCGGGCTTCTGCCCATACACCACATAGCTGTGCATCATTTTCCTCGTTAGCCGTCTGGTCGCTCCGTCGAAAAGCAGATGCACACTCAGTTGGTCGTATCACGGTGTCACTGAGAGCAACCAGGCCCAAAGTAACCCTCATCGAAGAACTCAACTTACATAGGCCACCAAGCATGAACATTCGTGTTCCTCATGCTCTTCCTCACGCCGGCAAGAAAGACCTCCACCTCGGTCAGATTCCACCCGAGACCACGGGTGAACAGCGCCAGGCTGAGGCCGGACAGACCGCCTACAATGTTCTCGCAGCACCAGGCGCCTGGGAAACAAAGAAGGAGGAGAAGAGAGAAAGGAGACCATCGTCAGCCACGTGCATGTTTCAAAAGGATGAAGAAATCCCGAGAAAAAAAGTTGAGCCTACCCAGTTCCTTGTACTTGGGGTCCTTGGGCCACGTATTAGAAGGCCACTTGTAGATCCTCTCCTCGACATGAACAAACCCGGCGTCGATGAAACGTTGTCTGTACAGCTTGGGCCCGTCGGCGGGGCGGGCGACCCTACGGGTGGCTTCCAGCATGTAACTGCACCACTTGCTGATGGGCTCGTCGTCGGCGACGGTGCCGTCATCGCAGCCTAGGGGGAAGCAGATGTCCTGCAATTCGAGCCATCCGCCCGGTTCGAGGTGGCTTCACCATCCCGAGTCAAAGTCAGATACGAAAATATACAAAAAGTATTTGATCCATTCCTGTTTTCGAGTTGAGGGCTGTAGTGAGAGTTGAGTTGAGGGGAAGACGTTTCCGGCGACCACATGCACTTACTCGTAGCTCTGCTTGATGAATTTGGGCCAGTCGGCGACGGCCCCTACTAACATCCGGCCGAAGACGAGGTCGAATTTATACGAGAAGGCCCATTCGTCTTCGAGGTCGTCGATCTGGAATTGGACGTTGGGGGGTACGCTGTGAAGGATGAGTGGTTATTTTGCGCGTCAAGCCAGCCCAGCCCTCTCCGTGGTTAAGTGGCGAGAGAGGTCTTGAGAAGGGTTCAAGTTCCATACAATGATGGTTGGATAGGACTGAGGTCGATCCCGATAATCTAGCGGTTCCCCCCCCTCGTGTTAGATGTATTGCACTCGTCGGTGGAGCAGGCGAGAGGTATTATTGAAAGAGGTTACTTGCCTCAGTCTCAGGATGTCCATCGCCTAGTAACGAGTTGAGGGTGTCAGGCTGTCAATTTTCCAGATAAAGGGGCCGTTGGCAGTTGAGGTCACAGCAGAGGTGAGTTGAACTCTGAAGGGAGCACGAGGGGAGAGTCACGGCCAGCTACTCACCAAAGTCCGTTGCCCAGATACCGGTACCGGTGCCGGCGTCCAATACGCGGCGAAGACCTTTCGTGCTACCGGCCGGGCTGAGAGTAAGCTGCCCATCGAAGGTCAGAAGAAACAGGTGATGCTGAAGATCTATACATAAGAGTTCATGTTGTCAGATGCCCATTCTGGTGAGTCGTGACGCGCAGGCCACGAAACGACACGGATGCATTCCTACATACTAAGGCGATCCTGTTCCGGCTGAATGAGACGGACAGGCAAAGAAAGAAAGCCAGCAGTGTCAGTTGCCTCTGTTGTCTCATTCCTCCATGGGAGGTGTTGAATTGTTTCAAGCTTACGCCATCATTCGGCAATACGTATGCGACTATATCCGAAGACTTTGCATCAGCGCCTCGTATGCCTCGGGCATCACAACGGACGGACATGGACTCACTGCTCGGCTTGTAACCGTGATAGGTGCGACCATGTTCCTCTCGGTATTGCAGGACGCTGGACTCTAAGGAGGCCGTAGAGCTAAGGGTGTCGTCGGGCCCCTGCGGGGTTTTACGACGACCATGTCAGTGAAAAGCGCGCGCGATATGTCATAATAACCGACGATGGGGGGGTTTCGTTTGAATCAAATTGATATCTTCTCTTGATAAAGCACGGCAAAATGGAAGTTGAGCACGGGGGGAAGCAAGAGGCAAAGACAAATCCACACACACGTACAAGGCTTGAATCGGCATCGCCCTCCTGGCTCTCTGCGGCGGGTAGTACCTGAAGGGCATGGGATGACAAGATCCATCAGGTCAGCTAAGAAGTAGCAGTAGCAACAACCAAGCGCAAAGAACATAGTTAAGAACCAAAGCGGCAAACGATGGAACTAACTGGATCGGCCGCTAGGGGCGTCCAGGTCCTACCGGACGCTGAAGACGCAAACGGAAGCTGTTGATCATCGGCCATAATGTAAGTCGTTGTTGGCAAAGTTGGAAAACTTTGGAATGTCGAGGACAACGGATGAACAAGGGACTGGGGTGAAAAGGAGAAAGGTAAAGGAAGAACTGAGGAAAGAGAAAAATGGGGAGATGTTGGAGGTGGCGAGACATGGACCGACCAAGAGGAGACGAGCCCCTAGAGAAACAAAAACAAACGGCTTGCACTCCGAACCCGTCACGGGTTGTGATTTGTTAGATATACCCTTCTTGATTGCACAGCAGAGCGCATCGCATGTACTGGACCCTACAATATCCAAGATGGCCCTCAGGGGCAGCTTTTCCTATTCACCCGGGCACCCCCTTTTTCTTGTCGGACTCTTCTTTTTTTTTTCCTTTTGTTTGTTTTTGTACTATATATATCTCACCCTGAGAAAGACACCCAAAGGACCATCCCATGACCTCAAGGTTCCTGGAATTATGAATTAATTACGCAATGGCTACAGGAGAAGAAATCGTGTGTCTAGTGTGTAAAACATTCCGCTAGGGCAGACCGTGAGATAATGAGCCGCCATCGCCTATGACACCTAATGTCGCTGAAATGGCGCATGCTGAAAACCGTTCCTTTGATTTTCTTGACTCCAGTCCCGACCGTGTATATATCTTATGCCAGAAAGATAAAACCAACCGTCATAGTCGAAAAGAAAACAGACAAAACAAAACATCACGTTGAGTCGAGTTGAGAGGGCCCGCAGGGAAGGGAGACTCGAGAAAAGGGGTCGATGAACCAAGATGGCCGCGAAGTGAACGCCCCAGCAATAAGGGAAACCGCTCACAAAGACGGCAGGTCCAAAGAGGCATCGTTCTCGTCTTCGTGCAAGACGGGAGCACTAATTTTCACACATCCTACCTTATTGTGTGTGGTGCGACCTCAGGGGAAGTGTCCTGCTCTTAAGCGACGAAGCATCAGCACGAGCACGGCCTTTGGGCGACAGTCTGACTGCAGACATCGACGACGCAACGGAAGACGAAGACGAGGTTGAGTCCCTGGGTCTGCCCCTGGCAAGAACTTGTCCTTCGTTGGGTGCATGTGGCCTATCAAGCTCGCTTTTGTCCTTGTCTTTACGTTTGTCGTCGTCCTTGTCGTTGTCGTTGTTGTCGTTGTGGTCGTCGGGATGTTGGCTGTCTGAGCCATGTCGGGCCCTCTCGGTTGGGAGCATGACGGCCCGGTCCAGCGCATAAGGGAGCCATCTGTGCCGTCCGCGGATCATGAGGGCGCAGATGACGAGCTTGCTCGCGAGGCTGAATTGGCCTGAGAGCGAGGTTGAGACAGCCGAGTGGCCAAGGGAGAGACCGACGTTGCCGCTGGGAAAAGAAAAGAAAAAAAGGAGAAGAATGTCAGCTACGTGTATTCTTACTCAATTCCTCGCCGCGTTGATGAACGTAGGTAGAAATGGGAGACCACATACTATGCAGACGTGACCTCAAAGAAGATTGGAAAGACCGAGAACGACTAGTCAAGAATAGGAGGGTCAGTTTTTTTGCCTCAACTCGTCCTTTGGCCGGGTGGAAGGGAGAAGATGGAGAGCATGGATGGCCTTACGGGATCTGTTGGGTCCATGATCCTGCCCGATTCGACAGCACAGATGATGAAGGTGCCGAGGAAGATGTACCACATGTCGAAGCTGAGCTGGTTCCGGATATGCATGAGGACGTACTTCCGGCCGTTGGACTCGTCGACGGGTACCTCGTCGTCCGGGTAGATGCCCAGAGACTGCTCTTCGTACGTGTTTGACGCGCGGACGCTGATGGCAATCGGAAAGACGGCCACGTACATCATGGCGAGGAGGCTGAACTGCACGGCCGGGTTCATGTTGGCCAGGTTGAAGGCCGAGGTGCCCGTGTGACGCGCAGACGCGGCCTGGAAGAGCGCAGCCAGGATTCGGGGCCCCATCCGTAATGTGTTCACCGCGGCGTTGTCGAGGTCGAGGGTAATAATGAGTGTCACGTCGATGAAGTTGAGGAGCACCACGATGCCGAAGAGGACCCAGGTGGGGCGGCTCGGGAACAGAAGGGTGTAGCATCGTCGGGGGTGGTCGAGGAGGAAGCGGAGGGTCTCCCCGGTTACGGATTTCCGGGGGACGAGCTTGGAGGTGATCCAGATGATGAGCCGCAGGAAGACAGGGTAGCAGGTGTTGCCGGCAAAGGCGAGGAAGGTCATGATGATCATGGGCCAGGTGGCGTCTCTGAAGCTCATCATTGAATCCGGGGTCAGCGTGAAGCCGAGGTTATTGAACATGGTCTGGGCTGAGTAGATTGCCCTGCAGAAGTGGGGGGGCATCGGGGGGAAAAGAGCCTAGAGGTTAGCAATGCGAACATGGGGCGAGAAGCGAGAACCGCCGAAAGCCCGCGGACGTTGTACTCACCACCAGGTTTCGTTTTGACCCGACTCCTGAAGCCAGTCTCTGTATTTGCTCGGCGCATTATGGATCCAGGGGATCAGGCAGATGGCACCCAGGACATGGCCCAGGACGAAATACGCTACAGCTTGCGTCAGCCCACAGAACGACAGGGTTTTTTTTTTTTTTTTTTTGCTGGGAATTGCATGGAGGCTCCCATGTAAGTGGACGTGGTACCAGATGTGATCTTCAATAAAAGCTTCAAGCCCCTGTACTCGACGCCGCCGAGAGTTTCTCGGTCTTCTTCGGTGAGGTTGAAGAAATTCGAGTTGCGGCCGATGGTGACGGAGCGAGAGAGGCGGGGCAGGCTCACTATACCAGATCTGCTCTGGGTCAGCGTGACCCTGTCAGCTGCGTCGTGGGCCAGGGTTGGGGTCCGAGATTTGCGTCGGTGCATGGAAGAAGAGCCCAGCACAAAGGCAGACGAAGTGATCTTCTCGATAGAGCGGGCGGCAGACATGGTTGGTCCAGCGAAATGCGGCAGCCGGCGGCGAAGGGGGGCGGAGGAGGTGTGTGAAATCTGGGGCTGGGAGGAAGTGAGTTCGATGGCGTCTCCCTCTGAAGAACATATCGGAGTGGCACGTGTCAGTCGGGGCGCCGATGGCAGAAGACGAAGGAAAAGTGAGTGCACGTGGATCGAGTGTTGGTGAGAGAGTTGATACATACCGTCTTCAGTTTGTCGACTACGAATTGATGCCAATTCTATCAGCGGCAGGCCTGATCATCTCTCGTCAGTTGAGCCCGACAGTCGCGTTGATTCTTGAACTTCAGAGAGAGAGAGAGAGAGAGAGAGAGAGAGAGAGAGAGAGAGATTGGGAGCTGGGAGGAAAAGGGACCGGTTGAAGTACCTCTATCGCGCAGCCTCGGCGGAGGGACATAGAGGGCAGGACTTTCGCGCCTTCGCGGCTTGGGAAGCTCCGCCGGGTAGGTGATGTGTGGAGAGGGATGAGGTTGTGGGTAAGCATCTTCGTCGCTGCTGTCGCCATTGTCTTGCGGTCCAGGTCCAACTCGCACGTCATTTTCACGTCGGCGTTCTTGAGAAGGCGCCCCCTGATCGCATTGCAGGGAACGGCCCTCCTCGTTTGATTGAGTTGGCAACGAAGGGGCATCGTCAGAGGTTGGCCCGCGAGCCGGTGCATCGTCTTCGAGATCGATGGTGCCGTTTTCACGAGACTGGGGCCTAGAGACTCGTCGAGCTTTTGTGCGGGGAGGATGGCGCGGATTGTACAGGTCAGGTTAGTTTTGCTTTTGTTGTTCATCATCCAAAGGGCCAAAGGCAATAAACATAAATTATCAGATAGGAACAAGAGAGGGGCTAGTATACCGTAGCTGTTCATGTGCTTGTGGAACCAGAAGAGCCGCCAAGCAACAGTAAGGGGACTGATAAACATCAAGTTGGTGATGTGAGGGAGGAAGTAGAGACATATCTGCTGGTACAGCTTGAGAAGTTTGATGTCGATGCTGTGTGAAAATAAAAGGTGAGTGATGGATGAAAAAAAAAAATCGAAAAAAAGGCTGAAAAGGGGTTCAAAGGCCGCAACGCGTACCTGTTCAGACCAGACTCAGTTGATCCACTCAGACTGAGGAAGAAAGCATCGATAGCAGTAAGGTTGCCATAGCAGTAGAGAATAATGAACGTGATAATGGTGCACGTTATGATATAAGTATCTATCAGTGAGGCCGAAAGACGTCAGCAGGGGGACCAGCAATAGAAAACTCGAGAGTATCACTCAGAAATATCATAGGGCCTTAAACTCACAATGAAGAGTGATAAAAGGGATGCTCAGCGCACGCATACTAGGCGAGCACCCGAAGGGGGCGTAACGGGCCCGTGGAGACTAAATCAATGGAGGTGTGAAAACTTGGAGGTTAGTAGAGGTTGGATTCCCATGGACGCGTCACTGGTTGCAAGGTTTTATACCCAGCAGAGGCCTCCCGGGAAAATACATGGACTGACTACAGGAATAGAAGCCAACCCTAAGGTAGGGTTAAAGTACAGTTATGAATATAGACCGGATTTAGCGCCCTGGTAGCCGGACAGCCAAGGTACCAGTACAACCAGCAGACTATGAGTATGGTCGTAGGTACAGTGTACGCGTAGTGTAGAGGCAAATATGCAAATATGTACTCGAGCCAAGAGGATATCATAACCTTGGGCTAATACCTAAGCGTCGTCCTCGTCCAATGGCTCATCAAATTCAAGACCCTGGCATGTGGCAGTTCGGCTGCCAAGACATATATGTACCCGCTATATATCTGGTAACCAATTACAATAGGTACCCAAGTAACTAACCATCTCTATAAGGTACCTTTGTAAACCAACGTAATCACTTTAGGCAATATACCTGTTTCTTATTCAAAGTACCTTACCTTATTAAGATGTCTTATAATACAGTATATTATATTATATAAATTATTTACTTTGAACTATGCTTTTACTATACTTAGAGGAAGACAAATAGGATAAATAATTATAATTATACTGGTATATACGAAAAGTAACAGTTATATAAATTCCTAACCTATTCATCGTCCGTTGGTTTGAGTCTACGTTGATGACGTTGGCTACCTTATGCAATGGGCATGGATACTTGCAGAACGAACGCCCGTTACTTATCTCGTACGGCGTCTACCTTATATTACAACGCGTACTCATAAAAAAAATCAAAAAAAATCACACCCTCCATTGCCATCCACCGACTTTTATCACCTTTCGTTTTTCTGGCCCCTTCCCCTCCCCCCTCTTGGGTTATCTTGTATACCTTTTCTCGCCTACCACTTACCTACCTTTAATCCTCCAATAAAAAGTCGTCCAAGTGCATAAAACCTACCTTGTCACGGCATACCTGTCTCCTTAGGTCCGTCCGGCAACCCAGTGGAACACGATTAATTTACTTTCCCTGCGCCGGAGATACGTTGGATAAAGAGGACGACGCAATGGGTCCCACAGCTCTGCGAAAGCGAGGCTCAAGTGTCAACTTGTCTCAGTGGAACGTGCCTCGGTCGTCTACTCGGGGGGCACGGTAAAGTGAGGAGGACTGAATGAGAGTATATTTTTGAGCTGCCCTACGACTTTTTCCTGCGTCGTTCCACCTACGTGTAGATAAGAAATGACGAAACAAACAATACGAAAATATGTTACCTCCGTGCGTAGAACCAAAGAAAAATAGCTGTCCTCCAACGAGGACGATATCTTGCCCCTGAATCGGAGTGTGCACACTGTGCTCTCCGGGCATCCGCTCGCCGATGTCACCTCTCGACAACACCGACTTGCTCTGCCCTCCACCCGTGGCGCCTGCTACAGACACCCGCTCAGTTGCCGTCTCCTTGCTAGGAGCCCAGCACCGAGAGCTCCGCACTGATTGTGCTCCTCCACCCTCTTCCAAACCTTCACCCCCTCGCGAGGGCGAAGGACGATGCCGCCCCCACGGCATCCTTCTTTGTGCGACTCCGCCAACATCCCCCCCTCGAGTCGCCGTGGCTGCTGCCATCTCCTGGCCATCGCAGCCACCCGCCCCGACAGCTTTCTCCACGACAGCTTTCTCCACCGAACGGGGCTTCCAGCCCCTGCTTAGTCATTGGGAATCCTGTCTCTTGGCCTCCTTCTCAGATGCCTGCGCGCTCGAGTCGGAGGAGGAAAAGTACTCGCCAAACACACGTTCCTCGACGTCGCGGTCTTTCCATGCTACTCCCAGCCGTCGCCGCTCCACCCGACGGAAGAAGATGCGCTTGCACCACTTCCACAGCTCGACGCCAGCAAAGAAAAGACCGGCCGCGATGAAAACGATGCCCCATTCCCAGGTGATACCCAGATGTTTAAAGACAACGGTGTTCAGAACAGGAATATAGAGCAGGGGGAACAAAGTAACGAAGCCCAGTATAATAGCCCAGAAGAGGAACTGGTTCCGCCAGATGTCGAACATCCACTGCGTCAGGTACCGCTTGGAACCTGGCTGCATCCTGAAAAAGGACCGTCGCATGTCTATCATCTCCCACGCTAGAAAGAGCGCGAACCATGTTAGACAGGCGAACGTGGTGGCGCGAGCGCGGAACACCGTCTCGCAGGCAGGGCTATATGTGTCGTTGCAGAACTCTCCTAGGTCACCATCCCCGAAGCCGAAGACTACCAGGGAGAAGCTGGCTAGACAGAGCGCCGCAATCCACAGGCCGTAGACCACCATATCGACCAGGAATTCGAGAGTGAAAATGCCGGCCTTAAGCGATTGAGGGGGGCGACTAAGAATGCCAGGCACAGCCTGTTCAAACCCTAGACCCATATCGGGCAATCCCGAAGTGGCCATGATGATCCAGACGATCTGCACGGGCGCTAAGGGGAAGACGGAGAGGCCACGCGCGTCTTTGAATACGAGGCCGACGAGTAAAGTTCCGGCTTGGGCAATGTTCTCGGAGAGGACATGGAGCACGAATTTTTGAATATTGTCAAAGATACGGCGACCTTCTTCAATAGCCGCGACGATCGAGGCAAAGTTGTCGTCGGTGAGGACGATATCGGACGCATCCTGGGGCCGGCATATGAGACGGAGTGGGCTTGTCTTGGGGGCAGGGGGGGAGGGGGTGGGGAAGAGGTGGCACGACTTACTTTTGCGACATCGGAGCCGGATTGGCCCATGGCAATTCCTACATCGGCGCGACGGAGGGAAGGAGAGTCGTTGACACCATCACCAGTCTGGGACAAATGTGTTAGTGAGAAGGGTGGCTATGGCGTATGGTTAAGGTGGCAAAGGAACAAGAAATAAGAGAAAGAAAAAAAGAAGGAAAAAGAGAAGAAGAAAAGGCAGGGAGAGGAATGGGGCAACGAACCATTGCGCAGAACTTGCCACGGCGATGAAGAGCCTCGATCATCCTGACTTTCGTACTCGGCGCACACCTAGCGATGACAAGAGGTAGCACGGGAAGAGCATCGACTTCGTCGTCGGATAACGCATCGAAGGTGGTGGCCGTCATAACGAGAACGGCCGCGACGTCGCGAGCGACGCGGTCCATGCGACGAGGAAGAATGTTCACCTCTATGGCGATCGCCTTGGCCGTCTCGGGATGGTCGCCAGTCAGCATGTGAACGGAGATGCCGGCCTCGTGGCACGTCCGCACGGCGGGCGCGGACTCGGGGCGCGGGGGGTCATAGAGTCCCACCAGACCGCGGAAGATGAGGTCGCATTCGATGGACGCCCGGTCAGGGTCGTCGCCCTTTTTGATGTCCACGTGGTATGGTTTACTGGCAAGCGCCAGGACGCGCAGGCCAAGACCCGCCAAGGTCTCCATATTCTTCAGGATCTCCTGGCGGAAATCGTCCGTCATGTCAACGAGCGTGGCCTCGTCCTCGGGGGCATACTTGGTGCAGATCTGGATCACGCGCTCCACGGCTCCCTTGGTGTACGCGAACAGTTCGCCGGTAGCGTTACTCTGCATGACCACCGACATACGCTTGACGTCCGAGTCGAACGGCAGCTCGGCGATTTCGGACCATTCAGGCTTGTCGCCGGAGGTAAGGCGAAGCCGGTTCCAGTTGAAGCGCGAAGCGAAGACCTGGAGGGCGATCTCGGTGGGATCTCCGCGAGCGTGCCATTCCCCGTCCTTCTGGACAACTGTAGCCAAGTTCGCGAGGGAGGCGACGTCCAGAAAATCGGTGAGAGCAAGATTGCTCTCTTTCAGAAGCTGGTCGGGGGTAGCGATCTTGCCGCAAGCGTCGCCGCCTAGCTTGAAATCGATTTGATGGGGAGACCGCGAGTCGAAGCGGATGTCGCCAGACGTCGGGTTAAAGGGAGAGGACGAGTTCTCGACGGTATACGTTCCCTTACCCGGCAGCCAGGCGCCCCGAGCCACCATCTTACCCTGGGTCAAAGTGCCGGTCTTATCGGAGCAAATGTCGGTCACGGCACCCAGGGCCTCGAGCGACTTGAGGTTTCGAACAATCACATTTCGCTTCACCATGCGCTTCGTGCCGGCGGCCATGGTAATGGTCAACACGACGACAAGACTGGCCGGGATCATCGACAAGCCCGTGGCCACGGCATAGATGATAACCTCTTGTTCGGCCACGAATCTGTTGGCACCGAGGACGATGATGGCGCAAATGATGGCGATGAAAAAGAGGAGGAGGGCCAGTTTAGAGAGCTTCTTTTGAAGCGGCGTTCCGACGTTCACACCCAGGAAGCGGCCAACAGCATCCGTGAAGGTCAGTGTATAGGCCTCCAGGTAACGGTGCGGCTTGGCCGAGCCGTCGGGCTTGCGTTTGACCTGGCGAACACGGGAGTCCTTCTTACGGAGAGCCGAGGCAATAGCACCGATTTCGGTACAGACACCAGTAGCGAAAACGATTCCTTTGCCGCGTCCCTTGGTCACGTTGGACGAGCTGTAGGCGACGTTAAGGCGGTCGCCGGGTCCAGTGTTGTCGGGGAAGGTGGCATCGACATTCTTACGCACGGGGAGAGATTCGCCCGTCAATAAAGCCTCGTCGGTTTCGAAATTGACAGCTTCGAATAGTCTGCATGTAGCCGAAAAAGAAAAAAGAAAAATATTCCATCAGTAACGTGCGGTGACGACGAGACACGTGAGACGAAGGCCATGCGGCCATGACGAGCGAGGCCCGTTTGGCAAGCACAGTCTGACGACATAGAGCCATTGACAAACATACCTGAGGTCAGCCGGGACAGTATCGCCCGTTTTCAGCTCAACCAAATCACCGGGAACGACTTCGGCAGAGGGAACAACCATAGACTCGCCGTCACGGACGACGTTGGCAGTCGGAGAGCTCAACGAGCGGAGGGAATCCATGGTCTTCTCGGCCGAATACTCCTGAAAGAAACCAACGACAACGTTGAGCAGGATGACAAAGGTAACGACGCCGCCTTCGATCCAGGACTGGATGCCATAGCTGACAGCCATGGCGAGGATCAGGACCATGGTCATGGCATTTGCGATCTGAGCGACCACGATGCGGAGCGGCTTCACACCCTCCGCGTCGCCGAGCTCATTCGGGCCATATTCCTGGACGCGGGCCTGTGCGTCGGCGGCCGACAGCCCGGTGAGGGCGTTGGACTTGAGCTCTTCGGTGACCTGCTTGTGCGTGAGGGCGTGGGCAGGCGCCGATAGAGGCTTGTTGGACTGGCCCGAGACGTGGACGACCTCTTCGGGTGCCGTTGGTTCTTTTCCCTTGGCCATTGTGCCCCCAGTGACTCGATGCTACCCGAGGGGGGGGGGACCAGTGGGCGGGTTTGGCTGTTGAAGGCTGAGTGCTGGGTAATTAAACTCCAGCAGAAGAAGAAATAATGAAGGTAAGACAGCACAGCCGGTCGGCCAGAGTCTCGCCTAGCTTGAAGAGGACTCGCAGTTCACAGTCGGAGTCGTGAGACAACAAGTGAGGGAAAAAGGACAATTCGAAAAATGTTGCATCTTGGGAGGGTTTTAAAGTTTTTAAAGCGAATACCTACCTTATCCAAGGGTCCACCTGCCGCGAACGACCTGCGGACTTAATGTACTTGGTGCAAAGTAATTGTGCCGAAGTATCTGACTACCTATCTTGCCGGTAGTGGTCTTGTACACTACCTAAGGTACCTAGGTATATGTGTTCGCAAGACCGAGAACGCGTGTCGTAGGTACTTACCTACCTACCTCTCCATCAGGTGGGTACGAAGTACACTTACAGCAGCGGACATATTTGCCGCAGTAACTCTACGGTATGCCCAGAACGGCACACAAACCCCGCCAAAAAAAATGCTTATACCTAAGGTACCTTACCTAGGTACTTCGTAGGTCTATAACTACCTAACCTAAGGTACCTACTTTATAGTTTGCAACTGGCGGTGAGCGCCCAAGCCCAGTCTATTCCCCCACAATGTACATCGGACTGTATAGAGAAATTCGCTGGTTTTTAGCACACGAGATCGGTAGGACAACATATGACCGAGACCAAGGTACCCTCTACCTTATCCATAAGGTAGATTCGAGAACGAAGAAAGACCAAAAAAAAAAGGGGGGGGGGGGGACAAAAGAAGAAAAAGGAAAAGGAAAAGAAAATTTTGTTAACTGTAGAACTACGCCACCACCAGTCCAGAGTATAGATACTTCGCACCGACTTTATCGAATTCGGTAAGGGCCGCGTACCCTCGGTAGGATAGCCATTGACGAATGGAAACGAGCCTTTTGTTGCTTTGGCGGGTCTGTAGGGTTTACGAAGTATCCTTATCCGCCTTTATACTCCGTATCGGCGAAGTACTTGTGAGTTGGCTCCTCCTCCACACCATTTCGACGCCCCCACCTACCTTATGGAACCAAGTCTGGCGATATACGTTGTAGACTCAATTTGAGGAGGCGCAAGATGATAGTGTATAAGCTTAGACTAGGCCAGACCTGGCCGACTACGTAGAGGTACTAATACATGTATAACGTGTATATCGTCCCTACCTAGGCCTAGACGTGGCTAGTGTACTAGTGTACGTACCCCAGCCCTTAGTGGCTGGTGGTGCGGTGTAGCTCACACACCATCGGTGTACTGTGCGGCCTCGCCACACCAAGCCGGGGAATCCGCAACAAGGGACCGGGGACCACCCCACTCTCTACTGACCACTCAGCGTCCTAGCTGAGGTCACGTGCTCTGGTACGCGACTGCATCGTCTTTTGCAGAGACATAAATTATAATAATACTCTGCACTTTCGTACCTCGTCTGGAAAACTTGCCACGACGTATACTGGACAACTTGCCACGACGTATACTGGACAACTTGCCACGACGTATACTGGACAACTTGCCACGACGTATACCTACCTCAAGTCATGACATGGCGCCGTCTCTTCACTGCCTACCTTCTGGTTCGTCTAGAGGTAAATCGGACTGCGCCCGGCAGCTAGTCGAGATCTTCGATTCTCGAGACCCGCGGCCGCCCGCCTCCCACCTTCGCAAGTCATACACTCATACTAGCCTCTAGGTGCACCGTGCAATACCAAACCGCCAACAGTGGCCTCATCAGAGACGAGGCTGTGTGGCATCTATGGCGTCAGTGTTGCTTGCACACACCTACTGAGTCTTGGAGTACACGGTACACCATAAAGTCAACTTGCTCCCGGTCAGTGGTCACGCCTCACCGTCACCAAGGAAAAATTGATATGCCGACACACAAACCGGATACCGCACAGATCTTGGTATGTTTGAATTCTGGGAGGATATCAAAATGTGCACTGGGTATTGCGTCGACGTTGCACCGAATGACAGTCTATAAAGTCAAGGCTATATTATACTCCGATATCCTGGGATGCCAGTACGAGAAGACGAATGGATGCATGTGGTGAAAGGAGAGAGTAGAGATTGCATGCCAAGTGTTGGGGGTATCGAGACATGTTCCCTAGCACTCGCAAACAGTAAAGGAAAAAAGGCCCGAAGCAACCCAACTGAGAGTCTGAGGGCAATGTCGGCGCCTTTACATAGCCAGGCCCCAGCGAGGAGCGTTGATGATGATAGCGACAAGGCAGCCCGCGAAGGTCCCGGCAACGGGAAGGGTGAAGATCCAACCGGCGTAAATCCAGGCTACCATGCGCCAGTTAATGGAGCGCCAAGTACCGGAGCAGAGACCGACGCCAACAATAGCACCAGTGATGCACTGCGTGGTGGAGACGGGGAGCTCTGCGGTTCACAGAACATATTAGCACGTGGGGGGGCGGATATGAGAAGATGGCTGGGTAAGGCTGGGGAAATCACATACGCAGCTTGGTGGCGAGAATGATGGTCACGGTAGAGCCGAGCTCCATGGAGAAACCACGAGAAGGCGAGTGGAGGGTCAGGCGGTTACCGAGGTTACGCATGACGTTATAGCCGTACGTCCAGAGACCAATCGTGATACCGGCACCACCGTAGACGCTGAAAGGAGAAGGTAATACACGTCAGCATTTGGCTCCGGACAACAGTGTCAGGGGGCGGGGGGCGGGGGGCGAGAGGAAGCAAAACTTACAGAATCCAAATAGGAACGGGCGACTTGGATCCCGCAATGGTACCAGTCCTCCAGATCTCGTAAATGGTAGCGAAGGGGCCGATGGCGTTGGCGACGTCGTTGGCGCCGTGTGTGAAAGAGGCAACGGAAGCAGTGAGGACCTGTAGGAAGGAGTAGAGGTACTCGGCACGGTTGTCGTAGTGGGCGGCGTGAGAGTGGACCTCGTCAAGGTCGCCGGAGAGGGCGTTGCGACGCTTCTGCATCTTGATAATGTCCCGGTCCACGCCAGAAAGGAAGAGCCACTTGAGACGCCAGAAGAGAACGGGGCCACTGAAGAACGAGCCGTCGGGTTTGGGACCTACGATACCGGTCTTGGGCTTCTCCTCGACGGTGTACATGGCCTCGCGGCGAACAGCGTCGGCGGCAGCAGCAGCGTTCTGGGAGTCGGCATCGGCAGAAAACACCTGGGTGTCGATCTTCTTCTTCTCGCCGTCGGCATTGGCCTCCTCATCGCTGGCGTGGGCGCCACCGGCACGGAGGGCGTCGAGCTCCTCCTTGGTCAGATGACCCTCGTAGAAGTCCTTGATACCACCGCGCGCACCCTCGGGCTGGGGGCCAGGCTCGGGACGGCGGAGCAGCAGAGGACCCAGGGCAATGTGCCACCAGCGGAGGGACCAGTCGTCCTTGATCACGACACGGTACATCCAGGGGACGAGGAAAAGACCCGCAACGAGGGCGACAGCAGCACCAACGCCAACGATAAGGCCGGCCTGCTGCGCGTCGTTGAAGTCGGGGTTGATGGAACCACCCTTCCAGATGAGCAACATGGTGCAAAGGGAAGCAGTGATACCGAAGTAGATGGGCACGGTGATGAGACCCCTGGCCACGGGGTTGTTCCGGACCATGACGAGGTACTTGGTGATAGTGAAGATGACGGCACCGAAGGCACCCGCGAGGCCGGGAGCGATGATCCAGGCCAGGAAGACCTGGATTACACCGCCGTTGATACCTTTGTCAAGATCGGCCCTGTTTTTCGCCATGGTGTGAGCGTTTGTTCGGACGCGAGCCAGAAGAAAGAACTAGAGTGAAGCAAGAGAAAAGGAAGTGGGGGGGAGGCATAACATACCAGATAACACCGTCAGCACCGAGGGTTGCGACACCCATACCGATAACACCGCCCATGATGGTGTGGGTCGTAGACACAGGCAGACCAAGCCTCGTGCAGATGGTGAGGTAAATGGAGGACGCGGTGATAGCACAAACCATGCCGAGCATGAGCATGGCGGGGTTGTCTTCGTACATGTCGATATCGACGACCTTCGTGCGGATAGTATCGGCGACACGGGCGCCGACACCGACGGAACCAGCAAATTCGAGGATAGCACCAATGGTCATGGCCTGAATGTAGGAGACGGACCTAGAGGAGACCGAGGTAGCCCAGCAGTTGGCGACATCGTTGGCACCTGCGGCGATGTGAGGGTGTGATGATTAACAAAGGACAGGTCGTTGTAACTTGTCAGAATTCAGGGACCGGTGTTATGCAGACGTACCGATGTTCCACGCGTCCAAGAACGCGAAGATGAAGCCAAAGGCCAGGATGTAATCGTACTGATGAAGGGCCATTGTGACAACTAGGGGCCCCTCGTGCACGGTCCGGCCAGGTGTCGTACTATTCAAGCTGGGGAGCGAGGCCTGCTCAGTGCTGGATGAGGTGACAGGTCGAGTGATTCGCTTGACTTGGGAGGGACAGTCCGACAAGACGACAACAAAGGAGGAGCTCCAGAGGTTATATATATATATATAGGGTGGCATGGGTTTGGGCTAGGTTAGGTTGCATGGCAGAGGGACGGAGCACGTGCAGATTCTCTTTCCACGGCGAGACCCCATCTCGAGGACCAGACCCAAGATCCAAAGGTTTGAACCAGTCCGAGGACCTCGTGGAGTGCACGAGTTCTGCTAGACGGGATGGAAGGAGGATGGAGCGGGCATTCTCGAACCTCGAAGAGCTTTGACGAGAGTGCATGTCGCCGTCTTCACCAGGGACTGGGGGACGCCAGGGCCCAGGGTCAGGGGTGTGTCAGACGGGGGGTGAGCTGAGGGGTGAGTTGAGGAAGTGATCCGTGCGGGATGCATGTGGCATGTGGGCGAATGCTCGGACTCAGGAGGCGTGGTTACCACGCTCGCTGTCCGTGTATTGGCCCGAAGCAAAGCACCGGACCATTAGAGAGACACAACACGGAGAAGGTGCAGAGAGGAACCCCCAAAAGTAAAAGCACAGCGGACAAGACGTGTGTACAGTGGGTTCTCGTTGAGCAGGCCATGGGGGACATCAAGTCGAAGGCTCAAAGCATAATACGAATACCCGTTTGTACGGCTTAGAACCTGGGCTCTCTCGGTAAGGCCAACACAATACGAGCAGAAGAGCTGGTTGGTCCTGATGTGTATCCGTACAATGGGAGAATGTGAGATACATGGGCATGTGGTTGGTGCCCCTTTCAGGAAGTAGGGCCGAATTGATTCTGCAAATACACCCTGATCCAACGGAGCCTATTCGACGAGGAGAAGATTTCACATCGAGCAGCAAGGAGCAAGCAACAAAGGCACAGGGAAAGACAGAGGCGAATTCCGCTTCTGGAAGAGGTATGGGATGCAGTGGACGGTGAGGGAAGTCTGCCAAGATCCATTAGCTCCCCACGTGTAGGCGAGAAACGATGGGTTTCGACGAGCACACATCGAAGGCAGCTATGCCAAGCAACGCCAGGGGGGTCTGGGTCTGTACTCTGTAGGCGGGTCGGAGATGAAGCGCATCGGGAATTTGGTTAGATCCTGCTCACAGACGAATACCTAATCGAAACGATTCAAACGAGGATTCGGGGAGCGTGGTACGTTGTATGTACCGGAGTGCATCAAGGATCGCATCTCATCCCACTCCCGACCCTGGATCTTCACTCGGCCCTAGCTCATAGTTTGTAGCCGTAACCGTGATCATAGCCGTTGCCGTGGGCGTAGCCAACTCGTTAGTGGCTTGATGGACGGCCAGGGTGGGATAAAAGGCTGTGGCTGGTTCCGTCAGCCGTGCCAGTCAACCGGAACGCTGCGTATATATGTACTTCCGTATATAGAGTGGGGTAAACTATGTATGGATGACTTCAAACCCGTCGCTGTATTGCTTCACGTCAAAACATATGAGCTGTGGAATGTTGTGGTTACAGTTACGACTTGAGAGCGTCGAGTTGGAACCGGAGATGGGTAGAGAAAGAGATGAAGAGAGAAAAAGAAGAAAAAAATGGATAAAAAAGAAGAAAAAATGATACAGGAACAACGGACAAATGGCATCCCAAAGTACCGTTGCCGCTTATCCTTACCGACTGACTATATGTACGTTGTACCCGACGGGAAGCAAGAGGAGACTCGGGGATCGAGTGAGCGTGGGAATAAGCCAACAAGGAGAACATCGATTAGACGCCACCTTCCCAATGGGGCGTTCTTCAACTTTTGGCAACATAATGTGACAAGGCGCCCGGCCAGACCCGGAGAGAGGAAATACTAGGTACAGAGGAGACAAGGAAAAAGAAAACAACGGATAACGGGCACGGGGTAAGAAGGTGAGAGTGAGCTTGTGGCTACGAAGTACGAAGTACCGGAGATAAGGTAAAAAAAAGTGGCACCCTACGCCGAATCAAATCGCCGCTTTTCCCCACGTGTATCCCAAACAGGATATACTTACTCGGCCCTGGACACGGGAAGGACTAGCCACTCGAGGTCCCCACCAGTGCCCTGCTCCACTAACCCGCCTACACCAATCAATCTAAAGGGGCCCCACGACCCTTTTCAACGACGGTCGTCGACCTCTGGCGAGCTGTCGAGACTCGAGACTCGAGACTCGAGAGCCGCTTGTACCTTCTCTATGCATCGACCCATCCTCCCCAAATACTATGCTTAGAATCCGTACACCACCAGCAAGTTTGTCGTCCTCGTCTAGTTTCTCCGTCACTTCCAAAGTTCAAACAGCTCAGTCACGCGACCACTCCGAATCTTGCCCTATAACACTTGTATCAATATCTGGACCCATTACATATGCCTAACAGGCATGCCAGATCTAAAGGGAATTCGATGGGCCATAGTACTCGAAGCGGCATGCGGCATGCCGACTGCCTCTCCTTGCTCTTTTCCAATCAGTTATAGTGCTATCATAGAGCACCTTGACATTCTAACGTTGGACATTGGCTGAGTGCGGAGTGTGATGCTTAATGCCTAAGCTATCTTATAAAGCTAAAGTAGTTCTACGAATAGTTTTCTGTTCTCCGCTCCCTGGATCCCTGCGTGATTCAACTCTATGAGCCTCAGTCCACTCTTTCCAAGTCAAACCTTCCCACTAGAATACCCCATGAAATGTCTCCCATCTTCATCTTCGAGTCTCGCTTAATCCACGACCAGAATGACTGCTCCAACGAGTCTTCCACTAACCAGGATCGGGGGAGCTTTAGTTCCTCTTGCTCGCCATATGTGCATACATGATATGCAGCAGCCCACCTGCATGAGACAGGCCCATGGATGCTCTGCCTGATGCTGGTTTTCCTCGTACATAGTAAAGTGGACACGCCCATTTCGTCAACTATTATCCAATAGCGAGCAAACAAGGCGGTATAAAAAAGCTTCTCGACATCGATGCTCATGCAGCAAAGCACCAACAACAGGTGGTGGGGGTGTCGTGACAAATGAAAAATCACATGCACTTTTGAGGTCCTTCAGCTGTCCCACTCACAAAGCTGTGGCACAATTAATTACCCGCACGCCTCCTCTCACCCATATCCATACCCAATGGGACGTTTGGCAAGGATGGCCTTGGAAGCTATATGTCTTGGCTTTTCGGGTATGCTAGGGATGTTTTTCTAACTGCTAGCCGCCGTCTACCTATTCCGTCCTTATAGCCGTGCCGTGCCCTCGGTCTCTCCGTCTTTACCAATACTCCTCAACGGCTTTATGCCCACGTGCCCAAGCATTTGATTCTACTTCACTCGCTAACGTCACCATCGTGATGGAAACAGGCTGCGGAGACTGTCGTTAGGGCCCAGACCCACCACCTCCAGATTTCTTAATGTCTTCGCTAAGGCTTCTGTCCGCGGCCAATCCAACCTGTCGGGTCGCCTATGAGGTTCGGAAAGCCCCGACAGCAGTAGACTTGCAGATTCATTCCCTTCCCAAGGGGGTCACAACCAACGCCTTAGTGTGTCGCAGATCTCCCGAAACCCTGCTTCCACTCGAGTATAGCCTGTGAAGTTCACTTCGTCGGCTTTACTGATCTCGTGTCAGCACTCGATACCCCTTGAGCCCGCTCTCTGGTCTTCCTCTTTCTTGCCGAGGGAAATAACAAGAATAAATAATAACAAGAATAAATTATCAACAACGTCTAGGTAGTAGTTATACTACTCCAGCTTACGTATATGAATAACTCTTCTGGTTCGGCCAAGACCCACAGAGTACACATGCATCCAACCAACATGGTTAGTCAAGATTTAAGCCAACACACCTGCCGTCGGCGCCACCGCCACCGCGGCCGAATCCGAATCTAGATCCCCATAAACAATCTAATTCACCGCGAGAGGCGTTACTCTACCGGGAACTTCTCTCTATGGTCCTCTCTTAACCCGAACACTATTCTTGGCAGTGTCTCTTCGTCCATTGGGAAGGTCAATGATGTACCGGCATTTCTCACGTATCCACTCCTCAATCCTCACCTTAGATCTGAGGGTCAAAGACATTGATAACACTATCACTGACCGAAGATACAGTTTGCCTCATTTTCGCTGTCTCAACAGACCTTACAGAAACCTCCTACTTAAGTACTATGATATACAGTAAGTTGGTTGAAAGATTTGCGCTTGTTCAACGACCGAAGCACAAGGGCTTGTGGTTGCATCTTAAGCATATACTGATCAGTCAATTTAAGATACCATCATATGATTTATGCCCTACCTAGCTCTCGACCTCTTCACCTCCACCTTCCTGACCACTTTGTTGGACTATATCCACGCCTTCCCGCCCCCGGCTGCTATAGCCTATCCTAATAACGTACATATATCGACGTCGGGAAATTCAGTGCAGGAAGTAGTATGCATCCGTACTAATACATGGCTTATGCGTCATGCTTGCAAGTTGAGCCTAAAACCTGGATCCATGCACCATAGTAACCAATATTAAACTGCGGGAGGCATAATATGGCCTGGCCCAAAACAAATATATATATATATATAACGGTGCTTGCTTCTAAGAGCCGCTGCAAGCGAGAGACCCCTGTTGATCCACGCTATAGAGGGGAGGATGAGGACTGCGGCTTGTGGGTTCGGTGTAAAAGGGAAAGGGGTTGCCGCTTAAACAAAAGCGTCATCTGGATACCAGTCAAGTCTGGTCCACTACCTTCCGTATTGCATGATACATCGTTCAAATTGCACGTGGCGGATCAACATGGCATGCTATGTCCTACCTACTGTAGCTACATGGGGTCCATGGACTCGTTTCCCCTGGAGTCTATATCATTCCTGTCTTGGCCGCCTACTATTTTCCTTGGGGGGCGACCAAGATGACAAGCCTGATTCGGTCATTTCCGTTTCTATGCCCCCGTTCAGCTGATCATTGCTCTTGAAACAACACGGTTAACCACACGATGTGGCGACGAAAGGGGTACTAGGTAAAAAGGTCTGGGGCCCCTGAAGCTATGCGATGAATGAGTTTAACCAGTCTAAGCCAACATCCTCGCCCCCTGGGCCTCCCCTCAACACAGGTTATTCAACACATTCAAATTTCCAATGTCCGTCTTTTCTATCTCGCAGAACACGATCTCCAGCTACTCGATATGTTGTTGCCCCCCCGCGATACCCAGTATTGGAGGGGACCTTCGTTTTTTCGTCCTTCCTCTAATTTCATAAATGTTTCCATCCATTAATTTTTAAGTATTCATCAGCTTACAGACATGCCATCCGGAGAACTTGCTCTCTTAATGATAAACACTATATTGATAGTGCCACCTTCGTTCAATGAAGAGTCATCCATCGGATGTCCTTCATCCGCACTCCGTTTCCACCGACGTCCCGCGTTCAGGCTTGCTTGCTTTCTTCCTCACCTTACTCGACATCCTGCTTTAGGGCTGAACAGGTTAGCCCAGCTCCAACATGACCTAGCATAGACTTCCGAGTTCTGAGCACGGCCTGAGTGACCCCAGGGCCACTCAGTCCATCACGAGTTCAGCTACATGATTCACGTCGCCCTATATCGACTTTATCCTCTCGGCATGGACATACACTGACACGACCGGAATTGCAGTGCCTGTGGCCCATTCTGCATCTCTATTCCTAACCTTGGCACTGCTTCGTTCAGTTGGCCCAACTGGGAGACTTTCACACTCTCGCTTCTTCTCTAGGCATTTCGAATTCCGCAGAGCCATCCCGAATCGTGAGTGGTGGAGTTGCCGCTTTGTTTCCTCCGACGCACTATCACTTGTTGGCTCCAGCTGCCCCGGTTCTTGTTTCGGGGGCTTCTACTCATTATATCAACTGCAAAACGGCCGTCCAACGAACTTTGAGGCTTATATAACTCCTTTAACCTGTGGGATGTTGCGTACTGCCCGTTTCTCTAAGACACATGCACCCTTGGCTCTTTTCAGCTCGTCCGACCCATCCTGTCATTTTTCGCTTACAGTTGTCACAGAACGTTTTGTGCAAAGAGACCAATGGTCGATTTTTTTTTCTGCCATTGATCTCAGGATTCCTATTCGTTGCTTATCAAATCAGGAACTAAGAGTTTGAGCTTGTTATTATGCTTAATTTGGTTTCCGCAGAGGTTAGGACCTAGTCCTTCCGGTCCTTCCGGTCCCAACAAGTCGGCGTCTACCTTGTAGCTTGACGAGCATATACCTAACGGGGAGGGGTGATTATGGGTCAGAGCCCTAACAGAGAATTTCGCGCTGGCCAGAGCCGGTGCAGAGATATTTCTGTTAATATACAGTTCTAAGACTATCAATAGTCTGACCAGTTATTGGGCTCTGACTTGTACCCCCCTCGCCCCCGTAGGTACCTCGGGTAGTCGGCGAGCTTCTAAATTACCTTACCCCACCCAGCTGATGTCGCCGGCCGGGTGTTGGTCGGGCTGCAACCATCCCGGGTGCACTCTAGCCCGGACCGACCCATGCCAAAAGAGGGGCACCTACGCTATTAGTGGCGTCGCCGCGTGGCGGGGGCCCGTGAATCTTTTTGAGGCCGTTTTGAAAAGAGTTTATCCTCCGAGAGATCAAATGGTTTTGGCCCTTGGGCACCGACAGCAAGACTCCTCACTCCTCGAAAGACCCACGCTGTCCTTCTGGACATGAACTTGGGCTTAATGAAGCAGGTGATCCGGTGATATTACGAGCGCATTGCGGAGCAGGCCTCAAGGCGCTGGGTCCTACAAGTTAACCTGGATAAAGACGCAGTTTCGGTATCATGAGATTCACGACTTGGTGTAGAACTGCAGACGCCTAGCTTTCATGAGAGAGAGGTATATATCTACAAACTCCAGTCCATCTGGTCCATGGTGATTGAGAGGGCTGTGTACGAAAGAGTGCTCAAGCGATTCATACTATGCTTATCATTCCGTCTCTGGCTTTTGGGAGGCTGGCTTGACTCGAGAAGTGAAGCTCAAGCCTGGCTTATGCCTTGATATAGTTCGAGAAATCCATCGACTGCACGATGAACAAAACGAATAGGAGGGAGTACATAGAATGTGAAGGTCTCAGCACAGCACTGCGGAACATTCGTCCAGTTCCCTTGTATGCACAGGTACATCAATAGCCTCTCCCCCCTTCCCCGGATGTATGCTGGGATCCTGCTTCATGGACAGCAGAAAAGGTCGGCAAGCGGGGTGAAGGACTCCAGCACCGTTCCTTGGTTTAGGATCCGATGCGAAGCTCAAAGTGCATGGAATGTTTTCGGGAGTCCTGGTTGGACTTGGTGGCCTCACCATTCTCGTGGCTCGTATCGATGTTACCCAAGGCATGGTTTTCATTGGGGCGAATGATCAAGACTCCCATACGCCACTGCAATGAAACGCAACGGAGTGCATAGGGGAGGGGAAGCCTGCTCCCATGCTCGTTAGTGGGACGGGACGGGACTAGATAAGACTGGATGAGATCGGGTGGCAGAGAGTCCGGAGTCGAAGGACAGAGACGTCGGAACAGACATGGATATAGTTAGGTAGGTGGGCAGTTTTCAGTTTCCACGGGAGCACAACGCATTGCCAAGTCGCTCTCACTCCTAACTGAGTTCTAAGAAACAGGGCATACAGTAGTTCAATCATGATTCGAAGTTCAGTGTACCGACATCTCCGCAGACCACAGCTACTGCTGCTGATCTGGTACAATCAAACCAAGCGTCAGTTCAACCGCCAGCAGAATATATCTCGAAGGAAAGGCTTTCGGCCGGATCTGTCATTGGCCTGGAGGACTTGAAGTCCATAGAACTCATAACTTATAAGCAAAAAAAGCAAAGTTAGAGGTCACTGTGACTGAGATTTGTGCTCCCGTTAATGTACATGTACTTACATGTAACAGAAGGTAGGCTTTACGAGCTCGGTTCGGACCCGAAACCAAGAGCCTGGGCACCCCGGACAAGGAAGGTGGTATATCCGAAATACCCTAAGCCCGACATCAGTTCTGAGGGCGTTCACGAATCTAGGGATCCGAAACGGAGGCAGCAACACCGGACCAGTGACGACGGGCCGGCTTTTGGAAAATCCAAGACAAAAGGGATGCCAAGACTGCCAAGACTGTGTTGATCGCCACGGGGGCGACCATATTGGACGATTCCCGGCAGATCACGCTGGTGTAAGGGCATCGCCCAAGGCAAGACTCATCTCAATGTGAGACCAGATCAGCTCGCGGGAGCATCTGGGGTGAGACAGATTTGGAAGGAGGGAACGTACACTATAGTTACGTATTGGTTCAGACGGGGGGTGGGGTTCAAAATCGTAGTCTAATGACTCTGATCTGCTCCCCCTTTCTTCGCCGTCATCTTTGTCGACCTAGGACGTCGTTGATGATAGCGGTGGTAGTGGCGCTGGAGAGAAGCTCAAAAAATTGTACACGTGTACACCGGGAATCAGTTGAAGTCCCGTAGCGGTGCGGCCCGTGGATAAAGATTGGTACTTATTACTAAGTTAATAGGCTTTGGAGGGGTACAGAGGCGGAGAAAGAAAGCTTGGGAGGGACAACGTAATTTTTTTTTTGTTACCGAGGTCGGAGGCAAAACCAGTCCACAACATATGTCGCAGGCGCAGATCCACCAGTTTCTACGCCCCAAGTGGCTTTTACGCGATGCGATTTTGTATGTGGCTTTTCTGGGCTTTTCGTTGGCTCTTGGACGATGTGACATTTCATACGGTTGGGGCTTTTTTTTTGTTTCTTTTTTTTTCTTGCCCCCCGGCCTGTTTTTGTTTCTTGTGAGTCACAAAACAAAACATCCCGAGTACGCATAATAACTACCACCTGCCCCTCCAGTCCAAAAAGACAAAAAAAAATCCACTGACATTTCACCTACTCATCCGGCACAGAACACTCGGCGTGTACCTGGTACTTCCACTTTCATTACGAGGACTGAATAGCATCGGATGCTACAACAGATATCATGTCTACAGCCGATAACCCAATCTCCCACCACACGAGCCATACCATGGGGAATGGCGCCAGCAGCAGCAACAGCGGCATTAGAGGCGAAGCAACCCACCCGATCGGCCACCACACGAGCCATACCCTGGAGAACGGCGCCAGCAGCGGTAGTATGGGCGCCCACGGGGATGGTCAGGGTGGGGTCGGGGTCGGGGGCGAGGGCGAGGGCGTGGGTGAGGCTGAGGCTGAGGGTGAAGGCGAGGAGGACCCGAACGTCAAGGGTACGAGAGCACTCCCTTTCTCCCTACCTCCTATTCCCACCCTCCTTCTTCATTGGGCGCTGTTCGACGCCGCAGCTGTGTGCTCTATGCTGGTAGCTGACTCTCCTCGCCTCATACAGGACGTTCATCACGCAATCCGGGCGGTGACTTGGAGACCCCCATAACGAACCCTGCTGTCGACATGGACGGTTTCAACCTCACTACTCTGCATCCTCAACTGCGCGAGCTTGGCGAATGCGGCGGGGCCACCGAAAGGAGGGCCTCGTCGGCTTGCTCGTCCTCCGCCGGCAGCCTCGCGCGCGAGAGCGACGACGGCTCCGAGGAGGGGGCTAGCACCGTCGCCACTTCCATGCGCTCTTCCGGCAACCTGTCCAACTTTAGCATCATCGACAGCACCCTGCGGGAGGGCGAACAGTTTGCAACGGCGTACTTTACCACCGAACAGAAGATCCAAATCGCCCGGGCCTTGGATGATTTCGGTGTCGAATATGTATGGCCGTCCTGTAACAACATCCTTTCACATAGAGAAGAAGCCGTGAGAATTTATAGCTAACACACCATACGTGTAGATCGAAGTAACGTCGCCGGCTGCTTCTGAACGGTCGAGGGCCGACTGCGAGGCTCTCTGCAAGCTGGGTTTGAGGGCCAAGGTAAGCTCTCATGCGGGAATCCATACGCCTTGTGGCATGAACTCGGTGTTAACACAACAGCTTAGATATTGTGCCACATCCGCTGTCACATGGACGACGCGAGAATCGCCGTTCAGACTGGCGTCGATGGAATGTACGTCGTCTTGTCTCTCATCACCCACCTCCCCACCCTCCCCTCCTCCCATGGACGCAACCCATCCCATGCAGAAAAAGCTGGTGGCAGAAAACAGGAAAACTGACGGTCTGGACACAGCAATATGTGCATCGGCACCTCTTCCCAGCTCATGAAACACTCCCACGGCAAGGACATGGCCTACATCGCGGCCAAGGCCAAGGAAGTCATCGAGTACGTCAAAGCGAACAACATCGAGATCCGCTTCTCGGGCGAGGACTCGTTCCGCTCCGACTTTGGCGAGATCCTCAAGCTGTACTCCCTCGTCGACGGGCTGGGAGCGAACCGCGTGGGCATCGCGGACACGGTGGGCGGGGCCACGTCGTTCGAGGTCTTCGACAAGATCCACGCGCTGCGCCAGGTGGTGGGCTGCGACATCGAGACGCACTTCCACAACGACACGGGCTGCGCCGTCTCCAACGCCTACGTGGCGCTCGAGGTCGGCGCCACCCACATCGACACCACGGTGCTCGGCATCGGCGAGCGGAACGGCATCACGTCCCTCGGCGGCCTCATGGCGTGCTTGGCGCCCTCGGATCGCAAGTACATCCTCAACAAGTACAAGATCGAGAAGCTCGAGTACCTCGAGCAGTTGGTCGCCGACATTGTCGGGGTGGAAATCCCCTTCAATAATCCCTCGGCCTCGTTGAAGCGATTGTTTGATGGAACTGGACGTTCATTCAATTGAACCAGGCCGATAAAAGTGGCACCGAGATGCGATTCCTGTTTTGTTCCTTTTGTTTTCGAGGCCATGAAGAATAAAGAAAAGATAAAGAAAAGGAGAAACAACAAAAGGGGGGCAAAAAGAACAAAATCTAGCTCCACGGACAGAGGTAGCCTACACTCGTTACTTACAATTCGATCCTCATCTCTCTACGTTGTTGACCCTCCAGAGACCTTGATCGTTGATTGATGTTCGAGTGAACATGTATCCGTAGGGTAGGTATGCGGCGTCACAGGTTTCATGTGCTGGCGCCGCCGAGCTCACCAAGCCTTTTGGTGAAAAGCCTTATTAAATAAAGCCTTGACACGTCGTCCTCTTCATGCTCGGACCTCGTCCCAAGACACCTCCAAGGACAGAGTAAAAAAGCAAACGTGTCAACGGGTGGATCATCAGCACAATACCGTTGTACTCTGCTGCCAAGGAGTCTATGAATTGCTTTTTACTTCTTTGGATGACCGAGTTCGAGCGGATGAATGGTTGTGACTAACTTATAATAAGGCAAGGAGGAATTGGGTTGGGTTCTTTGGCGGAGCCAGGCGAGGATGGAAACATCCGCGAGACAGGGACGAGACGAAGGAAAAAGAAAGGAGAAGAGAAAAGAAGGGAGGGGGGAGACAAAAAGGCTAGCGCAATCCTTCCCACCCAGCGATTTGTCAGAGCCCCATCTTTATCACAACTCTTTCTTGGGGTGGTTACGTTCAGGGGACGAACCCATGGGCCGGAGATTTCCTGCCCTACCCAAATCTCTGCGCCGTAAATAAACCAATACCAAGTGTGTGTACAACGCACGTCTGTATGTTGTACCACGTTGCACATTCTTGTGGGCCAATAACGAGCCCTTGGAGGACCAGGTTGACCAGGTACCTGCATTAGCCCGAGCGGACAGGTTTCTTGTTAAGGTTAGGCCATTGCACAGCCTGTCGGCAAGACGTTCAATGTCCCTCGCGACTCACTACAAAGTATCATCAGGACTCCGTAATACATCATGGATTACCAGCCCATGGGATTCGTGACCGTACCTGCCTTACTCAGCTAGCTGTAGGATTGCAGCACGATTTTGGGTAAAACAGGCAGGTGGATACCTCTGTGTACCTAGGTAGGATAGACCGGTACGAGGGCAAGCCTCACAGACAGCGGATGAGGGACCGTCGAAATACTTTAGGGAACAGGTACAGCTGTAATTACACATTACACTACTGCCCGGTAGATATGGGGGTGGCGTACGGAAGAGGCGCTGGTGATTGTGCCGAAGCCCTGCTTCGTATGTAAGTAAGCACTAGAAAATTGCGAACAAATACCCCATAAATACACCGTGAACACTACCGTACCTATATAAGGTACCTTACGCAGTAATACCTCGCAAAACACCGGACGCAGATGATAAATTCGTGTCACGGCATATTTGCCCGGACAAATGCAGAGATTTAAAGTCAACGTAAATCCTGCGAGTTTTGTTTCCGATGCATGACGAAATATCTGATTTTCGGGTTTCCTATTCCCCCCACCACTGTTTTGTAACGTGACTGTTCGCGGAAGATCTTACAGAATCCTGATCCTCCAAGTCTTCCTCTTTTCTTCTTATGCCCTGTTATTCTTGTTCTCCAATTTCTTCTCTGCCCGACGTTATATATGGGTCCTTCACAAATCTCATTCGGCTATCCCATCCCTTATCTTCTCAGTGCGAATCACCGTCCATCCACTCAGTTCTCGACGATCCCTGTTGGTTGGTTCTTGGGCTGACTCCAGCCCGTCGGTTTTGTGGCACAACATCCGTCCGCGTCCTCGTTCGTCTTGGCGTGTCAGGGGATCCAGGGTCTTTTGCCCTCACACAATAGAGCTCGCCGACATGTCACTTTGAAGCCTCCCAGACCTCGTCCCAGACTTTCAGACCTCCAGCTTCCTCGTCCGAACCCTTGTCTTACCCTTCGAGCACGAATCATGGTCCTGATTCCCGGCCCAATCCCGCAAGCATGCTGACACAGGCTTGTACGTTGTACCGTTGTACGCCCCGGATGTCACCCCCCGCCCCCCCCTCGGATCCGTTGTCTATTCGTCCGCGCTTCTGTCCAGACTGTCCGCATTATGTAGCCCCGCCGGCCGGCCGGCTTTTCGCCTCGTTACATTGTATCCGCCGTGACACATCCATGCCCCCATGTCCTTATGTCCCACGTTAAGTGACCGGACAACTCTATTATGGATACCCGCACGGAGTATAGGGGCTTGGTCAAGGCATGGCCCCCTGCCTCGGATCCTCGTGCCTTCCTCCTTGGCTTGTCCGTCTTAACTCAGGTAACCAAAATACTTCCCCCCTTCTTGTATGTAAGTATTGTATGTACGTGTACAGTTGTATAAAATCATTGGTGTGTCCTATTCTTGGCTAGTTCTTTCCTTCTTTTGGGTCTCTTGATGCATTTTTCTCTACACGGCCCTCATCGCCATCGGACCTTCTTTTCCGTCGTCGTGCCTTGGCCGTGCCAGCCATTGACGGGCATTATCCTCCAGTCGCTCACTACCTTGGGCATCCGACCCTATACTCTCGTTCAGGTTCTTCTTCCGATAATGTTTCTTCGCGCTCCTTCGTTTTCTCTCCTCGCGGCCCTCGCCGCCGTGTCCGAGGTCGCCACGGCCGCCCCCAGCTTCCCTTTCCCTCTCGTGAAGAGGGAGGCGTCCCTCGTAGACCGAGCTGTAGCCGTCTCTCGTCCCGCCGTCGGCAATGTCCCCTACGGTTCTCAGATCGTTTCGTGCACCTCCCCCGGCAAAATCGCCCTGACCTTCGATGACGGGCCCGGTCCCCTCACGGCCGGCATCGTCGATACCCTCGACAACAACGGCGTCCCGGGCACGTTCTTCGTCGTCGGAAAGAATGGTCCCCACGGGCTTACCACCGGCAGTTACGATTCTCTCATTCAGCACATGCACACCCAGGGCCATCACATTGCCAGCCACTCGTTCCGCCATCCCGACTTCAGCACCATCTCCTACGACCGGAAGATCGACGAGCTAGAGAAGAACGAGCAGGCCCTGGCCAAGATTCTCGGTGTTATTCCCACCTACTTTCGCGCCCCTTACAGCTCGTGTGACGATGAATGCTATAAGGCGCTTGGTGATATGGGTTACCATGCCGTACGTGTATTTTTTTATTATTTTTCTTTTCTTATTTTTTTTATCTTTTTTTTTTATCTTATTTTCTTTTTCTTATTTTTTTCTCTGTCTTTTTCACGTGTATCCTATATCATCTTTTCTTGTTTTCCCATCCCAAGTCCATGACTCACGAACCTTTTACAGGCCGACTACGACCTCGACACCAAAGACTGGCTAAACGGCGGCTCCGACTCCAAGGCCCGCTACTCCGCCGCCGTCGAAGCCGCCGACCCCAACTCGTCGTCCTTCATCGTCCTGGCCCACGACGTCCAGGCCTTCACCGGCAACGGATTCGTCCAGTACATGATCGACGTCGGCAAAGAAAAGGGGTTCGAGTTCGTCACCCTCGGCGACTGCCTCGGCGACCCCTCCGGCAACTGGTACCGCAACCCGCAGTCCGGCGAAGCCATCAGCGGAGGAGGCAGACCCGGTCCCTCCAGGCCCGACTCCACCGACGACCGGGAGCAGCAGCCCGCGCCGTCGCCGCACGCCAACATCGAACTAGAGCCCGAGGAACCGCGGCCTGACGAGTCCAACGTCGCCACCGCGGGGAACGCCTCTCCCACGAGCTCGTCCTCCGATGACACCGCCGCTTCTTCGTCTTCGTCTCCGTCTTCGTCTCCGTCTTCGCCTTCCTCTTCCTCTTCCTCTTCCTCTTCCTCTTCGTCTCCATCTCCGACTCAGACCTCGTCTACCACCTTTGCCAGCGCCAGTTCCAGCGCCGCCGCGTCCGCCGCCGCTACCGACGAATCCGAGTCCAGCTCGAAGCCCGCCTCGCAGAGTTCCGCTCCTGTCGTGATCGACGACGATAGCGCCGCCGCCCTGCCTCTGCCCGCACGCGGCGCGTCGGTCCTCGGCCTGCTCCTCGGTGTCGCCGCCTGGATCATGCTATAAGATGCGCCATCTTTTACCAGGCGGGTGTATCACTTTTTTTTTTTTTTTTCATTCTCATGTCGGCAATAGGCTTTTTGGGACGGTCCACGCACAATGCGGTATACGACGTACATCAGCAACATATACCCCGGTTTTCCTGGAAAAGCGATGTGGTTTTACGGTTGTTGGTCGGCATACGTCCCGGAGAGTCATGCACATACTCCCACTCATCACCTGTATTTCAATGGGTATATATGCCTTGTAGACACCAATACGTTCATGTGGACGTACGAGGTCGCTTCTTCCCGGCCCCGATTGGCAAATCTCATGCAGCACGTTCGCAGTTTAATGATTATTTTTTTCTGGCGGTCTGAATTTTTTTCCTTTTCATTGTCCACTGCGGAATTTGTTGTTCTGCGGCCTCAACAACCCTCCTAACGGTACTTTATTATTCATGTATCATGTATCTACGTTTTGTTTTCAGAGACCTCCCTCGACTTGCGCGCGCTTTGCTTACTCCAGAGGCTGATTCTGCATCTTGCCTCCAATAATTTTCTCTTTCTCCGTTGCCTGCATGCCCCTCAGCACGTATGGTCACCTAGCGTCGGTCTATCTGCCTGCCGCTGAGTGACTGGGAACGATATAGGCCCGAAAAAAAAAATATGTTTCGCTGTCACCCGACCTGTTGTTCTTCCGTCGACATTTCTTCTTTATCATCACAGACCTCGGTGCCGTTTGACAGCCACATCTACCCGCCGCCAGTAGTTTAGACCCGGGCACCATCGCGGAAGGTTCTCCCCGGAGTCGCCGCTAAGAAACCAAAGCTTGACAGCCATCAGGCACGCTCATTGGACTACTAATGCCATTAATAATGAACACATCAACCTTGTCATGGTCAAATGAAGTGACGCGGGCTAGGCCAGGGAGGCCGTCCGAACGACAGTAAGGTACATACATATGAAGTACCCGTGTCTCCCCGCATATGCATGCGGTACCTTAGGCCAGGATGAGGGGGGTCCGAGCTCCGGGGAAGCTATGCCGGTGTCAACTTTGCTTCTTCTCACAAAATCTCCAGAGCTATACGGCAGCGACAAGCTCAGACTTGTTATCAGCTGCTTCTCCTGCCCCAGCTGTGTGGAGGGGAGCACCTCTCCGGCTTCAATCTACCACATCCCGCAGACATTCCACATATGTGTATGCTTTTCTTTCTTTCTTTCTTTTTGTTTTTGTTTTTATTCTTTTTGTTTTTATTCTTTTTGTTTTTATTCTTTTTGTTTTTATTCTTTTTGTTTTTATTCTTTTTGTTTTTATTTCTTTATTATTATTTTGGCCATCGCTCCAAGCCTCCAAGGATAGACCGTCGGCCCCTGATTGACCTAGCGTGTCCAAGACTCCAAATAACAGGTCACGAGTATCCCACTCCCTGTAACTACCACCCCGGCCTTTCGATTCAGCATCATCACTGGAACTGGATTGTCAGGAGTGCGTCAAGGACGATCAAAGGTATTTGTCGTAGGCGAGTATCAGTCCCACTGACTGGCTTTCGTAAATCTGTCGAGATACCTACAACTTTGACATTACGACCGCCTGGTTAGTCGTGGAAAGGGAATGACATTCGGGGCCTACAGCATTACGGCATGCGACCAAGGTGGGACGCCAATAATGCGCCAAGCACCCATCAAAACCCATTTCAAGGCGACGTGTGGGTGAAAGCGTAAGTGAAAATGGCAAAACGGTACAGTGGTAAAGTGGTATATAGATCAGGTCATTAAGAAACAGATACTCCTCCTTCATCACCCCCTCATGTTCCACGCTCTATCTGCCAACACAGGAAGAGGTCTCGTTTCTCCCTCTCCCACTCCCTCTCTACCTCGCCAGTCACACCATTAAAAGAAGAAAAGAAAAAAAAATAAACGAAGCAACAGGTAAACGTCTCCTAGACACGGTCCATGTTGTCGCGGACGGTGTTGCTGCGGACCTGGCCGACCTCGTCATCGGTCAGGATCTCGGGATCGGTGATGCCGGTGACCTTGCTCAGGATGGCGGCGGCGAACAAGTCGCCCGAGACGTTGGTCATGGTGCGGAAGCGGTCGAGGAACCAGTCGATGGCGACGACGACGGCGTACATGCCGGTCAGGGGAACGCCGACGGAGGTGGCGATCATGACGGTCAGGACGAGCGAAGACGACGGGATCGGGGTGGTACCGATGGAAGCGAGGGTCGACAGCAGGAGGACGAGGATGTAGTCGCCGGCGTTGAGGGTAATGCCCTGGGTCTGGGCCATGAAGACGACGACGAGCGGGAAGTAGATGGCGGTACCGTCCATGTTGATCAGGCAGCCCAGGGGCACGCCGAAGTCGACGACGGTGTTGGGGTTCCCGCGCTCGCGGGCGCAGCGGAGGGTGACGGGAAGAGTGGCGGCGGAGGACGCGGTACCCCAGGCGGTGGTCCACGCGGCAGAAGACTTGGCCCAGTAGGGGTAAGGGTTCCTGCGGGTGAAGGCAAAGAAGATGAGGGGAAGAATGACGAAGAGGTGGATCATCATGGAGCTGATGGCACCGCCGATGAGGTAGCCGAGGTTCGTGCCGACGTCGTTCAGGTCGAGGCGGAACATGTTGGGCAAGATGAGGAAGAAAACACCGATCGGGGCGAGCTTGATGAGGAAGACGATGACGCGGGTGATCATGTCGTTGACCTCTTTGACGACCCGGAGAATGGACGAGTCGCGGTCGGGGCGGATGAGATAGCCAACGACGATGGAGGTGACGAGGACGGCGAGCAAGTCATCGTTGGAGAGGGCCGAGACGATGTTTCGGGGGATTAGGGTGTCAAACAGGGTCACGACGACGTCATGAGGCTGGACGTTCTCGCGGTCGGCGAAGTTATCAACGCCGTTGGCCTCGCGGTCCAACGACTCGTCGCTCGCCACGGTCATGAGCGGAGCCCAGACCTGCGAAGTCATGACAACGGAGAAGGAGATGGCGACGATGGTGGTGAGGATATAGTAACCGACGGTCCAGCGGGCCAGGATAGCACCGCCCCTGGTGATCTCCCGAAGCGACTGGACGGCGAGGATCATGGCGCAGATGATCATGGGTAAGACTATGTAGAGAGAGACAACGTCAGCATGCCGGGTTATCCACCGGAAAACAGCCCCCGTCCCCCTTCTCAAAAGCGAGCCTAAAGAAACGTACCAACAGCGCGGAGGGCGCGCAACCAGAGGTTACCGGGGATGGCGAGAATGGCCGGGGCGGCTGGTGGGATATCGTCGACGGAGGCACTGACACCGATACCGATACCAACGGCGATGGCGGCGGCGATGACGATCTGGACGGCGGAACCCGGCTCGATGACCGGGTGCCACCACGGCTTGCGAGGCTCCTCGACCTCGACAGCCGAACCCGCAGACACTGGCGGCTGCTGGGCCGGGTCGAGAGACGAGCTCTCCTTGACGTTGTTGTCGGTCGCACCCATGGCCGGCTTCTCCATCTTGTCCTGACCAAAGAAAGCGGTGGCGTCGTCGCGATGTGAGACGTGGTGAAATGTGAAGAGGATCGGACCGGACAGGAGGCGAGGAGGAGGAGAAAGAAGAAAAGAAGAAAAAGAAGAAAAAGAGGAAAGGGACGAGAAGATAAGGTGACACCCGACAGGACAGTGGGCGGTGGTACCGAAGTAGGGGGGGCTATATATTCCGTCGACGCGGTTCTAGGATCATGCAGATAGCGCAACACACCATGCGATACGACGGTCTGGTCCTGGTCGAATCCGCCTTGTGTGCAGGGTCTTGACGAAAGAAGCACAGGAGGGGGGGGGGGAGGGACCAAGATGATTAGCTCGAACCCCAAGCCGTGGCGCAACGACGGAATCGAGAAACAAGGGGAGCTATGCCAATGCCATGCGACTCGGACCACGCATCCTTCGTCGCTATCAACGGCGATCTCAAAGAGGCGAAAACCGTGGCAGGGTGGACAGGGGGAGGGGAGACAGGGGGAGCTCTCAGCAACAGCTTGACCGATTGGATGGGGCAACGAAAAAAAAACCCCAAGGCCAAGGGTATCAAGGGGGGGACTGTTGGTGCTCGTCTCCTTTTGGTCTCCTTTGGTCGAGTTACACGACAGTACTCGGGAAAGGGAGTCGGCCAAGGCTGAAAGAGTACATACATACACGTACATACAATGTACAACGCAACCAAGGGAATGGTGGGTGGCATTTTTTTAGGGTTAGTAGCTGGAATGGAGCCGGACGGCGACGGAAGGAAGGGATTGGACGGTGAGACCGAGCAGGATATCTCGCCAAGGCGTGCTAATCATGCTCGGCCCACGAAAGGAAGGTGAAGAGCCATATCCCCGCATCCCCCCACCCACTGGATGATGTACAATGTACGTTGTACCCACCTTACGTCGGAGGAACCAGGACAAGGACAAGGGTAGGATCGAGAGGGACCCAAAAGTACAAACGTACGCTGTGCGTCTTCTGTCGGTTAGATACCAAATACCACAATACTTTGTGCCTTGTAAGGACCCCTTTTAGACTGGGCGAGCGCATGTTGATTACTGCAAATGTGTAAAAGACAAAGACAACGGAGATTAATTAGAAAGAATGGCTAAAATAGTAAGAAAAAGGGGGTGTGGGTTGCGCGGGGTGAGCCGAAACGACCTACAACGTACAACGTACAACGTACGTGTACCGTGTAGCTCGTTAGCTCGAGCCAGTATCGGGTCAGAGAAGGCTTCTAGAAAGATAAGAACACGCTAACAAGCCCGTCTCTTTTGAATGTTCTTAATAACGTGCTTTATTTCTTCTCGCGTCAGTTCGGAACTACCCCCGACGCCATGATGATTTGATTCGGTCTTCGCCCGTACATATTGTGATTTGTCGAGTCTTGTCACACGGTCGTCGCGAGTGGAATCAGGTGCATCGAGGAATGCGTTGCGATGGCCAACCCCTCCTTTAGGCGGAAAGCAGGTAAGACTACCAGCATCACATGCTGAATAAGGAATCAGCGGACTGGAAGGGGAGGGGGGAAAGGAAAAAGAAAAAGAAAGGAAAAGAAAAGAGGCCACATGGGAATGTCCAGAAACCCAGCCCGTTGGCAAAAGAGTATCCACCCGCCACCGACTTGGTTTTACACCGGCCGGTCGAGAACGGGTACGCGAGAAGATGGCGATCGATTGCTGGACAGAGAAGAGAGGCCGCGGACGGCTGCATCTCGGCACTGTTTACGTGCTTGTAGATCATTTCGGGAGATTTTGGCCGCCAAACGGGGATGGGAGACTGAACGAAACGAAACGTAACAGTGTAAATAAGCCAAACCAAAAGGAAGAAAAAAAGAAAGAAAAAAGGTCGGATATCTTCGGGGAAATGATATCGTCGACTCCAACACAAGGCGTTTTCTACTTGTCGTGGAAAAGAAGAAATGCGTCGGTGATACGCAACGTTTCCCATAGAAAACTGGGGAGCACTTCCCCAGTACGGAGGACGGGTACGTGTACACGTATACAACGTACACCAAACTTGGAAGTTGGAACCCAGCGGCGAACTAACTTAAAAAGTAAAGTAGCTGCCGGACATAGCCCCACTCCTGAGCCAATCCGCCGGCAATCACTAGGCTCATCTCACTCTTCCATATGCCTATTGGTCGATTCCATGATTAGGGTTGTTAGGGTTGGAAGGTTGGATGGAGAGGAATGCCGCCGAGGCTTTCCACGGGCACTTTATACTCCTCCCCAACTGTTCACTCCGTTCCCCCTACAAACAGTACATCCGAAACAGCGCGGTTCTTCTCTTATCGCTTATCAGCTTATCAACGGAGAGGGCGACGGTATCTATGAAGATTTTTTTGACGCTTTTTCATGAGAGGTCAGGGCTAGGTCTTTATTCATTTAAGTCGTGATGGATCTTGGGTTGGTTTAGGTTCCAACAATCAAAATAATGCAGTGACCAGCACCTGCCTTCTTCGTACATCGTATATATATGGTACCTTATAGTAGGTACCTTAGCTCAAGTATCTGTGTTGTGAAGTGGAGAGATAGATACCTACCCAGATGCAAGGCAGGAAGACTAATTTCATTACCTACCTACCCGGGTAGGGGTGGGTATAGGTCAGAGCTCGAACAGAGAATTTTGCACTGACCAGAGCCAGGACAGAGATATCGCTGTCAACATAATGTTCTAAGACTTCGGACATCTGACCAGTCCATCGAGCTCTGACCTATAACCAGCCAAACCCGGGTAGGTAGGTACCTACGGATAGAAAGCCAGACAGGGGGCTATGTTCCTGCCAGCTCTGTCGAGGCATATGCACACAGCCATGCTGTTCCTGCACAGACCTCGTGTACGAGTACAGCGTACTCGCGCCTGCGAAGTATAGGTGCAGATATATATATGCAATAGATATATGCCTCGGTAGCACACAAACAACGTACCAAGTACTTTATTATTGTACGTTGTAACAACTAAGGTATCTTACCCTAAGGTATGCAGCTGTCCACGAGACATTGACCATGGGATAAGTGTTTTCCCTATTTTGTCTTGGTCCTTTCTTCCCTTGCGTAACTGCCGTTCAAGGGGGAGCTACTACGATAGGACTAGTCCCTCAAGCCACACCTTATTGGGGGAGAATGCTTGTAATAACGAAGGGCTATGGTGGCTTTGGTGGCTTCGGTCCAGCGGTGCCTATAGTATAAGGTAAGCAAGCGGCTGCTAGTCAGGTATCCCCGTATCCCCGGCAGGCGCCGCTGCTAACCGACGCCGTTGGTTTCTCGGGGCCCTGCCTTTTCTATCCCCGCCACGCCAAATTCTCCTGCTTCTCCACTGATACCAGGTCGTCGTCTCCGGTTATCAGCATCGTTCCACTGCACCACTGATTGGGGGATTGCCCTCTCGTTTGGTTTGGTCCTATCAGTGAATGCCCAGACTTTCCCGAGACCACGCGGTCAACTTCCCCGCGCGGGTTTCCCCGTCCCAACGTCCTAACCTCTAACCGTCCATCGAAACTGGCAGGAGGCAGCGAAGGAGGTCGAGTTTAATGAGACGCGTCAACCAAACAACACGGAGCTCTCTTAAACCAACAGACAGACAGACAGACAGACAGACACTGGATGCTTCCTCATCTCCATCGAGTGGTCAGGTTTCTCTCTGCTACGCTACCTCACCAGAGCTTTGGACCCCTGGGCTCTCTCCCCAGAGACCCTTATGCATATACCAGACCATCCTTCTATTTTCGGACAAGGGCTTAGGGCCTACAGCGTACTAGTATCAACCTCTGGTCCTTCGTCCTTCGTCCTGCATCCTTACCTATCATAGTGCCTCACAAAAGAACCCAGACTACCGCAAACCACCGCCCCCAAATTCCCAAAATCAAAATTAAAGTCATCCACGCGACCAAGATACCATCCTAACCTTGTGCATTTACCAGTCAGAGCAGGAAGACACCACCCTGTCCCGCCTCTGTCCTCGGCCCGGAATATCGGCCTTTGGATCCCGCGAACCGGCGCGCGTTTTTCTAGTGTAAATGCTTTTAGATTCGGGCTCTGTACCGATGATCAGCAGGTTGCGATTCACAAAGTCTGATGAGACAGACCATCCATCAACGGTCTATTCCCCGGACTCGAGCATCATCACTACGAAGTACGAATAAGAAAAAGCTGACCTGATGTTGAACGCTCATCAGCCAAGCCAACCTGACCCGGTTCCTCACATCGATCGCCCCCATCACTCCTCATTGACGTCAAACGGGCTAAAAAGCTAAAAAGCCAAGGCAGACAACCCTGCCTCGGCACGTGAGACCTGGTCTACCGTCGTACGATGGTACAGACAATGGAGTACACTAATCGCGAGTAGCTCCGAATGCAGCCCCATGGGTCAACGTCGGCCACTCTCCTCTCGTCGCGAGACTGCCTTGCGATGACGATGCGTTGATGGCACACTGCACACGGCACACGTCAAACGAATCATTCTCCCTGCATCCAGGTCCGCCAGTGTCCACCTCCAGAAATCGCGCAGTCTCCGCGTCTCTTGTCTAAGCCCTCTGTCGGGCCTGTCGTCATCCCCAAGGCAACGGGCGGGGCAGAGAGCAGTTGACAATGTATTTGTTCTATCGATTCCTCTTGAATACCCAAGCCTAGGTCCCGATCGCGCTGTGTAAGCTAGAGAGAAGAGAAACACCAGAAGGGGGAATAGAAGATGGAACAAAAGAAGAAGAAGGAAAAGAGAGAGACAGAGACAGAGAGCAAAAGACGCCGTAACAAGAAACATGTACGAATGATAGAGCATAAACTCCCCCATTCCAGCCACCAAACAGCTGCATGATAAATATTTGATGTCTGGGGAAGCGTAGACAGGCCCGTGATGCCGCACAAGAAAACCCAAGACACCGCGCTATTGCTATTCCAAGCATACCCCCAACAAGTTGCGAGAGACACAGAAATGTATCCTTTGATGAAACACTCAGCATCGCTGTTCGCCGATGCACCGAGAACCACCACACTCTCCTTCTGGCGCTGGACACTGGACGGCAGCAAGGATTTTCGGACGCCAAAACCAACACCGCTTTCTGCCTCCTCGTCTGCCTACCTACGGTTAAGATGTACCGGTAGGGGAGGACGGGAGGCAAGAAAGGGGTAACGATACATCAAAAGTAAAAGCATCGCCATCTCCTGTGACCAGTGCCACTATCAACTACCACCACCGCCACCGCCACCGCCGAAGGTCAAGTCCACGTTCCAGAGGGAACCCCACACCACGCTCCTCTTGGACTGACGACTCTCAACGCTAGCCTCGCTCCTCTCACGATGCAGTCGTGCCGGCTGCTGATGCGGCTGCGCGGGGTGCTGCTTACAGGGGTTGCAGAGAGAATAAAAAAAAAGAAAAAAGAATCAGCGAAACCTCAGGGTCCCAACAAGGTGTCCATATCGTTCCGTACCTCGCTGATGCTGCTAGCCGCCGGTTTGGAGGCGGACGAGCCCTCGTCGGGCGCAGCAGTTGGTTGTCGGGCCGATCCACCACCTAGTTTCTGCGGAGAGCTGGCGTTGGTCATCCCCTCCGTGCCGTCGCCCGGGGGCCCCGTCGTCGTAATAAGCACAGGGCTGTCCTGTGCCGGCGGGCTCGTCCCCAGCGGCGTCTCCGAAGCCGCCGCCCGGATCGAGTTGGTCTCGCTAGCGACCGCATTGCCCTTGAGCAGCCCCGCGCCCGAGAACGGCAACGCCTTCTTCGAGTTGGAGCTGCTGCGCCGGCTCTCCAGGCTCTTGGTGAGCACCTTGCTGACGCCCTCGATGCTGTGCACGCTCGTGCGCTTGTCCCTCCCCCCCGCGCCGCCGCCGTGCCCGTGCGCGTGCAGGTGCATGTCCGCCCGCGCCTCGACGTTATTAGCCGCGGTCGTGGACTTGCCCAGCCCGGGCGTCGACGGCGCGCCGGCCTTATCCTCGTGCGCGTCGATCATGTACCACCGCAGGCCGTCCGACAGCTGGAACGGGTTGTCGTCCTCCTCGCCGTTGGCCGACGACGCCGCGTCCGGGTCGGGCGCCTGCTGCTGCTGCTGCTTATGCAGAGTCTTCGAGAGATCCACCACCCGCTCTTCGATCCGCGTGATGCGCGCCACCAGCCATTCCCGAGACCGGAGGCGGTGCCCGTCTTGTTCGCGGAGGAAATAGTGCGGGAACCCGACGTTGAAGGCCGCCCATGCCCCCGACGCCTGGTTACGCGTCGGGAGGAACAGGGCGAGATCTCCTTCCTTGAAATGCTTGTACGCGATCTTCTCGTGCGCCTCCTTCTGCAGCGTCCGGGCCTTCTCGCGGTACGCCCGCGCATCCCGCTGCAGCTTCCGCGCCAGGTGTTCGACGTCTTTCACGCGCCGATACACCGTCTCCGACACCAGATCCATGTCGAAGCTGCCCAGCTGGCTCACAAAGGCTTCGTATTTCTCCGTTTCGTCTTCCTCCTCGGTGCTATTCGTCCAGTACAGGAGCTCCAGATCCGCGCTATCGGCAAGGGCACGGCTGCCCAGAGTGACGGACCGACGAACCGACGATGACTGGTTCGGATCGAACGAATCGTTCCCATGTTGTGTCTGGCTCATGGAACCCCGCTCCGATCGAGGGACCTTCTGAATCGTCATGGAGGAGCCCTCGCGAGAAATTGCAAATCCGAGACGCTCCAGCAGCCGGCACAAACGGTCATTCTGTGCATAGAGCCGCTGTGTCAGGTCTTTCGCCCGTTCGGTGCGGGCGTCCAAGCGACCCGTCAGATCCGTCACTCTCCCTTGTGACTTGTGCAGCTTCTCGTTGGAGAGCCGGAGTTCCTCCGAGAGGCTGCCGACCTGAGATTGCTTCAACGCCAGTTCCTCACTCATCGCCGTCACTCGTCGCTCCTCTTCGTCGAGGCGCTTCCGCATGCTCTCCGAGCCCGTCTCCCCGTCGGAAAGCCGAGCCCGCAGCTGACTCAACTGGCTCCGACCGTCCTCTCTGTCCTTCTCCAGGGCGGCAACCCTGGCCTTCTCTTCCGAAAGGCTCTCGCGAAGTCGCCGAGCAGAATCCTCCTCGGCCGTCAGACGTTCCTGCGTCTCTGCCAACTCCGACTTCAGGGACTGGACATGCTCCTGTGACCGGTCATAGTCCGACTTCAGTGCCGACATGTCGTTCTCCGTGATTCTCAGCCTGGAGACAACCTCGGCAGCACGAGAGGCGAGGACGTCGATCAAGTCAGCAGCATCAGCGGGCGCATCGGTACCGTCGTCCGAACACAGCTGGTCATGAAGGTCCCGAAGCGCTCCGAGCTGGGTCTTGCTGGCATCCTGTGCGGCAAGAAGATCGCTCGAGAGAGCCTTGTTCTCTTCCGTGATGGTTTCCACGCTCCTCTCAAGAGCCCCGTTGCGCTCGCGCTGTAGTCGCATCTCGTTCCGAAGGAACTCGACCTGTCCCTGTGACTTGAGCGTCTCGTCCTGCTTCTCCTTGCGGAGCCTGTGAATCTCATGCTCCAGAGCCGCCACCCTCTGGTCGTAAGTGGCCTTTTCGTGCTCCCTCGATTCGCCTAGGTGCTCCATCTCATCTTCGTTGTCTTCGATGCGGGCCTTGAGGAGCTTGATCTCCGCTTCAAGGGATTTGCGCTCCTCCGTGAATTCCCGCTTCAAGGCTTCCATGTTGCCGAGGAGGTCCTTCTTGGTAGAATTGACCTCCTCCATCCGGCCCTTCATGTCGTCGTGCTGCGTGGTACGAGCGCCGAGCTCTTTCTCGAGGGCTGCCGAGCGTTCCTTCTCCGCGCCCAGTTCGTTTTCGAGCTGCCGTATCCTTTGCTGATGAAACTCGATCCCGGTCGAAGAGAAGCGGCGGTCGTCCGAGTTCGCCACCGTAGGCGACTGGAGCGAGTACGTCGAATCATTCCGCTCGTGGCCAAACAGTGATCCCAGGCTGGGGCGGCTGGTCTGGCTCCTATGAAGTAGATCCTCCAGCCTGCGAACCCGGCTCTCGGCCGTCTTTACTTTGTTCTCGAGCTTGGATTTGTCATCTTGCAGACTTCGGAGAAGTTCATCGTCGCCGCGAATCATGAGGCCGCTGCGTCCCAGGGCCGCCTCGTGTATGCTGCCGTTCTTGAAAGCCTTGAGGCGCTTTGATTGTTGTTTCGTCGGGCCCTTTAGCTCTTGCGCCAGTTTGGACACCTCCTCGACGATGGCGGCCTCGGCGGCCTTCTGTCGGAGATGGTCCAAGAACTCCTCCAGGTCGACCTTGCTCATGTTTGGCCACTCCTCTTCTTCGCCAAGGAGGTTGACCTCCAACCCCAGGATGCTCGTGCCCGACTCTTCGGGACCGTATGTGCTGCCGACCATCTTGTGCCATCTTCTTCGCCTCTTGGCCTCCTCGTCCTGGAAGAGCGCCATCTCGTTGGCCAGTGTGGACGAATCGGTCTTGATCTTCTCGGCCCACTCTCTTCGGCGTATCGCTTCCGAGACGAACGAGGCGTACATGTACGGCAGCTGATGGATCAGGCGCAGATAATCAAACGTGGCCATGTCCTCCTCAGACTGGTTCAAGATGTTCATCTGGCTCTTGACGTTGCTGTGCAGGGATGTGATGCCGGTGATGCTGCGCATGCACCGCACGCTATCGGCCGCTATGGCGTTCCGAGCTTCGGTTGCGTAGTGTACCATGTCGTCCATCTCCTGGGCGCGCCGCTTCAGGGTCGGAAGCAGGCGCTCCGTCTGGTTTTGGGCCGCCTTGGACGCCTGGGAGAGATCACGCTGCCTGTTGGTGTACTCCTGCACCATCTGGGCATCCGTATGGATCTTCTTCGCTACGGCTTCGATGTCTTGGAGGAGCTGGTCGGCTTCGCCGCTATGTGTCAGGGCGGAGCGGCTCACAAGACCGTCGAATTCGGAAATAAGCTGTTCCAGACCACGATACATCGTGTTCGCCGCCTTGTCCAGGCTCTGGACCTTTTCGCCGAATTTCCTTTCCGACGTCGCCGCGAGCGACCCGGCTTTCTTGGCCGTGTCCAGCTCAAGGAGGTCGTCCAAAGTCGCCTGCTTCCTCTTGATATCCTTCCCTGTCATGAACTTGACCATCGCGGCTGAGATCGGCACAGACCGGGCGACGGAGAGGCACTTCTCCCAATTGGCCGCCAGCCGTACATGCTCTTCCAGAGCGGGCGCGGCCCACTTCTTCAACTCGGCGTACTTCGGCTCGATCTGTTTCACGCTATGTTCCAGATTCACGACAGCTGCATCGAGGCACTTGATCATGACGTCCATTTCGCCATATCGTTCTCGGGCAGCGGTTGCGAGTCGCGCACAGTCGTCCGCAATGCCCAAGGCCCATGCCCTACGTTCGAGACAGAGCTTCTGCCATGACGACATATCATGGGTATCATCGATGTAGTCCGGCGCCTTGGGAACAGCATATCGTTTGGGGTTCGGCAACTCGGGGACGGAGGGTGTCTTGGGATCGGAGGGGTCTGCTTGTGTTAGATTTCGGTCGTAGATGTATATCTCGGCCTAGAGTGTGATAAGAGAAAACATCGTCAGAAATGTTCTCCCGTCGTCGTGGTTCAGCGAGGCCTGTTACCTCTTCGCGTATCGTCTGTAATTTGACGCCCTTTCCGTGGGGAGTAAGGGCTACGAGATGTGGTAACGGGATCGATGTTTGCTTGGAGACCGAAGCCTTGAACTCGTCAATGCTGCAGCATTGTTAGTTGGTCATTTTAGCATAGCATATAGCGTGAGGGGCATGTGCTGGCGTACGAAGAGAACCGGGTGGTGTCGACCTGCAGGCGCTGGCCCGTGTGGGCGATCAACACCTGAGTCGCCATCCCAAGACATTTCCCGGCAACAAACTCGGTATCCGGTATAGGGTAGAGGTTGACTGGCCCGTCGGTCTTCTTGGACCACGCAATTCCCTTCCACCTTTTATTTTATCAAAGGCCACCCGGGGGGGATTTCGCTTCTGAGCTCCCAGGTAAGTAAGACGAGCGAGCACAACACGGATGCTTCGGTGCTGCTGTAATGGTAATGGGAAACAATGCTATTTGTTTCCACTCTCACTCAGCAGATCGTCTGGAAGGACAGAGCAGAAACTACTCCGTAGAAGGATTCGGGAAATGATGTTGGAGGTTGAGGCGCTCGAGGCTTTCGTCTTGACAACGCAGTGACCATTCTGTGGCTGGCTGTCGCACGAGGCGTCCAATCCGATGGTCTTTGTCCAGCCTGGCCTTGAGGACCCTAAGGTACAACGTAACTACTGATGACCCCAGCCAATGTGACTGTGAACATCCCGCGTGACCCCGAGTAGGTACTTCGTAATTACTGGACGATCCAATACAAGCCACATGTGGCTTGACACTCCCAGCCTCCCAGCATCACTAGGTACCTTAGCCATCTTCGTACTATGTACCGTACCTATCAGCCATCGCGAACTGGGAGAATGAAGCCGGAACGACGCGTTTTCGGGAAGAGTACCTTAATCATAGCAGTTACTATTTTTGAAGCCTTCTTGTTGTCACTAGGTATCATTTGATATCTAACATGTAAATATATCTCGATGGACCATTCAACAGTAGCCGAAACCAGTGTGTCGGCAGGGAAACCAGCCCCCCTAACACTCTCCCGGGATGAGGAGCGTATCCTCGAAGCGTACGATCACCTACGCCAACTAGAAATCCGGATCGCCCTGCTGAAAGCACAGCAGAAATGGGTGCCAAGTGAGCAATCTGAAGGGCGTTACTCATACTTCCGGGACGTTTTAAACTGACGCGGTTGGATACGAATTAGATCCGTCTATACCAGACACGGAGGAAACCCTTACAACAGCGAAAGAAGAGGCATCCAAAGCCAGGGCGTCATGGCTCCTCCGGAACAACACGACGGATAGTGTCATGATGGCCAACCCAATACTCAAAGCAGTGCACAATAGCACACAAATCACGCCAATAGAAAGGTACGTTTGTCTGCACATCTTGGCTTGCCTTCACTACCAGCCCTCCTCTGGCCTGCCGAGAAAGCCAGAGAGAAAAGGAAAAGGAAGAGGAAGAGGAAAGGGAAGGGAGACGACGCATTTAACAATCCTTATCACCAGCGACCTCCTCCCTCACATCCGCGACCGCGACGCCGCATCTTCAACCTTCGCCAAAAATTCCGCCGAGCTCCGCAACACCCTCGACGCCCTCACGACCACCGAAAGTCACACCCTGCGCGCCAGCCGCCGCAACGTTGAACTAGCCAAAGACCTTTTCGAGCTTGCCGAAGAAGCGGAACGGCGCAAAAAGGGCGACGCGGGTGACGACCCGGAGCTACAGAGCCGGCTCGAGACGCTCCGTGCCGCGGTCAAGGAGAGCCGGCAGAAGTGGAGGGTGATGAAGGGAACCGCGAGCGCTGTGGTCGTCGGTAGCGGCGTGGACTGGGTGCGGGATGAGGCACTGAGGCAGATAGTACTAGATCCAGAAAACGACAATGAGGATCTATAAAGTGGGAGTGAGTCACATTATGAGCGCAAAGGATGGTCAAGTCCTCACTTCAAGTGTGGAATGTGCCCATTCGAGCCCAAACTTGGTCTCGGTAGGGACTTGAAATCTCTTATTGGTATCGTCAGTTAGTTGGCTTTTTCCAGTCCCTCCTACTTTCCGAGACTTGGAGCCATTGCATAGACTGGAAGTCACCCCGTCCGAGAGAACCAGACAGACCCTTCCTGACGACCCGACTTGAGAAAATCGGATCTTCGAAGCTCGCGATTGCGAGATGCTGCACGGATCATTATGACTAATAACACGTGATCCTTGAGTTATCGCGTTGGTGGTCTGATTGCGAGACGAATCAAAGCCATGCAATCAATCCTCGAGACAGTAGGCCAAGAGGCCAAAAAGCTTCTTACACATGCCAAATCGCTTTCTCTACGGGTAGCAACCCATGTCTGAAATTGTTGGTTGACTTCGCTGGTCATATAAAACGTATAAACGACGGCGTAATGTTAACCGCACCATACAAACGTTGCTGTAACCATGGTAATACAAGTACAAAGTACGTACGAACGTACGAGGTACCTTAGTATATCGAAAAGATACCAGTATTGAGTGGAAGAGGGAGGCACATCAACACGAGCAAAGGTGGGAGGGCCAAACCTCCCCCAAAATTCAGGTGGTCCCCATCACCAGGTGCACAGTAAGAAGAATTACGGTGTACCTCGAAAACAAAACCGACGTGGGGCAACTGAGGCAAGGGGACAGTTTGGGTCTCACTATTCAGCACTGTCTTAGCAACCAGGCTGATTGGGTGTCTTGTTGTATTGATGGCCAAAAAAAAAAGCGAGAGGCGGACCAGTAAAAGGGAGGGTACGGCGTATATGCGAACGCAAAAGGTGGCAGCGCCTCAGAGTAAAGAGGAAACAATGAAGGACGAGTTTAGGAGCAGGCTAAAAACAGACACAGTAAAAAGAAGATAATGAAACTAAGATGGAAAAAAATATGAAGAAAAAAAAAAGAATAGGTACCTAGGCTAGACATATATACGTACGGTACCTGTCTTCTGGCCTTACATTCCCCGTGCTGGGATAAAGACCTGGGTTTTGTTTGTGGAAGTTTTCGCACTTATTCTGGCAAGGTACTCTATATTCTGTATATAGACCGAGGTCGAACCAGCGTTTGGATGGTGCAATGCGCAGGTCCGTCAAGTCTGGGGCGCCCTCGACGTCCACATTCACCAAGTCAGTGGTACATAGCCTTCTTTCATTATCCGGTGTGCAAAATTCGCTAACAATGTACAGAGTACTTTCTATATAATAAAAGTGCTCACCTGCAGCCGTCACAGGAAGCAACAACCACCAAGTAGGAATTCGCACCCGGAGATCAGGAAGTATTCTGTCTAGCATTTCTCACTTATTAGGATAAAAGAGGGCGATTATATCCGTCATCAAGCGAACAATACCCAACTTTATAATAACCCGGCTTCCTAGAGGATAATATTCTAGCCGATAAACTATACTCCGTATATCAACGTCACTACGGCAAGTAAAAGGATCTATAAGATACCGCCCTAGTATATACGGAGCACCTAAAATAAGAGTCTTAGTACCTACCTATACATTCCGTGTATACGAGTGAGGAGGAGATTGGAGAGAATGGAAGTACACTGTACGATGTAAATTGCATATACACAAAGTCAGCAGTCCTCCGATTCTGGGACTGTAAGGAAATGCATCCGAAATTTTACGAGAATACCTGGTACTTCGCGCAAAGTACCAGTACATAGTAGCTTTGTATGATGATACATGGGTGTCATACGTGGATAAGGTACCCAAACGAGTTAGGCGTACGTTATTAGTAGACTTTCAGCTAAATCCACTCTGCACACACACACACACACACACACACTGTTGCGGGACAAGGCCCTCTTTGGAGGCGAGTTGACCCCCATGTCTATTGTACCTTCACTACTCGTATGTCGTCGCTGGATGTTTGTCCCGAATCCAGTCACTCGACCTGTCGAAGGGTACGGACAAGGTGGAGACATATTCTTGCCGGGGTACAAAACCGTAAACACCAAGCACACGCACTCCACGCTGTGACTATTGCAGAGTTATGTAAATACTTCGTGAAAGCAGGTCTTGCTATCTGTGACGTTGTACTATGTATTCGTACGGAGTACCTTATGTCAATATGAGTGACGCTTATGATAGGACAGCCACTCGGGGAGGTTCGACCGTTTGACATAACGAGCCCCCCCCCCCCGGGGCTCGAAGCGCGTTTTTGGCGAGGGATCCGTCCGTAGGTCTTCGAGGTGCCTACTCCCTATTGGTGACGCTATATATTGCAAGAGCGAGGCCAGAATGTAGGTCGGATCTACGAAGCACACACTTTGTCGTAGGTTAAATGGAGATAGTCACGTGTAGCCGGTGTGCTTGTATGTATACGGTACGGAGTTACACACCTCTATATGGCTTAATACCTAAGGTAGGTTAGCGGGTATACATTATAATTGTCGTAGGAGGAGTATGTTTGTTGGTGGGTGGATACACGCTGATGCAACACGCAAGGAATGCTACGGTGACGTATTAAATTAAGCTGACACTGTGTCTGTATGATTAGGGGCGAGACTAACTCGGAACACGGAACAACGCGTACGAAGTACTATGTACCTTAACCTAGAAGGGCCACTTCCCGGTGTCCTGCAATTCCGCAATTCTAGCGACCAGTCATTACCTCTCCGGGCAATACAATAGGAATCGGTGCTTATTAGTGCCACCCTCTCTAATAACTGTCGAGGTCGACGACCTTAGTACCTTAGACGCTTTATAGTGGCATTATGGAAGGGAAAAGATGGAAGTCAGCTCCATGACACTAGCATACTTAGTTGCTGTGCAATGAAACAAGCAAAATGAGGATTCCTAATGTGCATAGCGTTATATTAGGCTAATACTGAAGCAATAATGTCAAGATAAGATGTGGAAGAAGGTGGACGATATATTTAGGTTGGTAGTGGTGATGACTGTTGACTGTTGTTACCGTTGATTCTGCGGTTGGAAGTACTAGGACGGGGTACAAATACAGCAGAGGTACTCCGTACCGGATACTACTACATTCGCGCTTTAGTGCTACCTACCTTAGGTACTAGAAAGTAATAAACTGCTGGACCTCTTTGTGGTGGGGAGCCCACCTGGGTCAATAACATTACTGGTATGGGCAGTACTTGTATGCAAATAACTAGTACCTCAACTGCTCACAGTACACCACTCCTCCCAGAGGTACTTGAGGTATCTACCTTAGGTATTCGTACACAGCTCGTAGTACTCTACCTAGTGGGGAGGTAGGGACAATAACAAATGGGGAGGGGGAGGGAAAGAAGGCAGGCCCGGACTATGGCTAGTACGAATACAGTATTAGGAGTGGAAGTAGGGGGAGGGGAAGGAGGAAAGGCAAAGGAGGGAAGGGACGCGTGCGTACCCCCTTTACCTTGCCTGTTGTTGCCGCCCAGCTTGTTGTAGCTGGATCACCCCCAAGCCCCCGCCTAGTAAAAACGCAGGCACCTCGCCTCCCCCCTCTCTCACTCTCTTCTCTGCTCTCTCTCTCTCCCACCAAAAATCCTCATGCAAATCCCAACCGCCATACAAATCCACGCCTACATTTTGTGAGTACTTCCACCTCCGCTGCGATCCACCGCAAAAACAAAGTCACCTTCACCACATTCTGCGACCACCACCCTTTTTTTCTTTTTTTCCGTTTTCCTCGCTTTGGCTGTTGTCGCCTCGCAACAGTGAAAAGTCAGTTACCGTGCACTCATCGCCCTGTCACTTCAATCCATGCCCGCCCGTGTTTGGCTCCGTGGCGACTATTTTGGACTTCACCAGCCATCCTCGCTATTGTCTCTTCGAATCCCAGCACCAGCAGCATCGCGCATCTTTTCTCCAGAGCTCCAAAGCTAACAAGAGCTTGACGCGTCCAGATTCGCACCACACCACATCTTTTTTCTACCCTCAAAAACCTCATAAAGGTATGTAGCAACATTTGCGATGTTTTATTTCGAGCTTCAAACACGCTTTGCGACGCGTTGTCGTCCGCAATTGTGTTCGCGATGGGGCGTGACTCGCCTATAACACGCTGGAACTGGGGACGATGCGCTTTATGCGCCGCCGTCCGATGCAAGCTGGCTACGCACGCAGTTTTCCAAAGACGACACTAGGGGATCTCACCACTGCTCTTCTCAAGCTCAAGCGCCACGGCACAGTTCAATCGGCCAATGTCCCTTGCACACACAGACACACCGACACACACACACACACACACACACTTGCCCCATGGCACCTACGCGATCACCTTCAATTGCGTATTGCACTCTTATAGAGCCGTTCGCTGACACTCCGTCTGATTAGCACCGCCAAGATGCCCAAGGCTGCGACCAAGCGAGGCACCGTTCAGAAGAAGCGGGCCAAGAAGGGTGAGTCGCCATCTTCCCCGCATCCCCGGGTTACAACGCCGTGAATTGCTCAATCCATAACCCATGGCGAGCTGGCGTGGACGACCTCTTGTTTTTTTTGCGCGTCCACTGGCCGGTATAAGACGCTCTTAAGCTAACGAAGTATCCTACCAGACCCCAATGCCCCCAAGCGTGGTCTGTCCGCATATATGTTCTTCGCCAACGAGCAGCGTGAGAACGTACGCGAGGAGAACCCCGGCATCAGCTTTGGTATGTCGCCTCTGCCCCTGTCTTTCTCCATCCGCGCCTGTTTTTTCCGAGGAGTCTGGCACATCAAGTCGAAGCTAACCAACCTCCCTCTCCAGGCCAAGTTGGCAAGCTACTCGGTGAGAGATGGAAGGCCCTGAACGAGAAGCAGAGGGCTCCGTACGAAGCCAAGGCGGCTGCCGACAAGAAGCGCTACGAAGATGAGAAGCAGGCATACAACGTAAGCCCGTTCCCATCCGACCGACCTTATGGTCCGATGCTGAAGCTAATATACTAGTCGTGAAGGCCGAGGCCGAAGAGGAGTCCTCGTAGGGAGGTAACAGCAAGACATACGAAAAAGACGTGAAGACCGAGCCCGAGGACGACAATGTCCTTGGCAGCGGGGCGCGGATGCTCACGCCCTAGAACCTTGTCTTCACGCACCACGGGAAGACGGTCTCCGGCCCCTCCCACCACATAACGCACTTCGGTTCGGCAAGGCATATCGCCCTGGCGTTCTCTCTTTTCTATCTATCTCCTCTGTACTATTGGTCTTGGCGCGGATGTATGATGGTAAATGGGAAACGGGTCGCTGGCTGGGCGATTTCTTTCCCTCCTTTTTTTTGATTGGGTTGGGCAGGGAAGGGAACGGATCGGTTGTTGATGGCTAACGAGCATGCAAATACCCGAACGCCAAGGGTAGCAAGCCATCATATCTGACTACGGACATGATGAGGCACCTCTATCTGTAGCTACGAAGTCTATTGACTTGGAATTAACGAATGTATAAGTATTCGATGACACGTTGCCGTCTTTGAACCTTGATATCTGATACCCATGTTTCAACCGATCTGGATGATCACTTGCGGGAGTGGCTGCAGCCTTCAGGTCGCCCTTACGGCAAGGGTTCGCATCATAGAGTCTCTTCAATCAGACCAGGTGCGGCGTGATCAGATCTGGCCCGGTTGGAATTCCACCGTCGTCGTCGGGGCCTCCACCTCAGGCCAGTCATCGCATTCGTAACTGTCCAGCACAGCAGTTCTTTCAATAGGAGTCTCAACTCCATTTCAAGATGCGAAAACAGCTTTTCCAGAGATTACTCAGTATAGCTCCTCCCATCATCCCAACTTGTCAACGAACATCCTCTCAAGGCCAGCGGCGGGCTCCGGAATGGTTCTAAATCCCGACTAGGTTCCCTTTTTCGATGTCCGGTAAAAGATGAAGAAAAAAATTCCACAAGACCTACGAAATTCTATGGCAAAAGAGACAGGATATAACAATAAGTACCTTGGTAAATTGTGAATGAGACGACCCTTCAGGTACCGGAGTATTACAGTATCGGAGGTTTCGGTCCGGTTGACTTCCTATTCGTTGGGAATGGCTTATGTGAGTGGGCTTCTGCCTCCCGAGGTGCAGAGCAGGGGTAATGCATGGAAAGAGGTCAGTCGGAGTGTCCGGAGTCTTCAGGGGTCACAAGGGACCAACGTCAACGAAGAACGAAGCAGTTGCAGAGTGTGTTTACAGGTGTATTCAAGAAGTCTGTCTAGATGGATTGAATCCCGGTGAAATGCATGGAAAAATCAAAAATCTATGGAATTATGGCCGACTCCAGTGAGTCTCAGTCTAACAGGGTGCCCAGAGCGCGTCGAAGGCTACGAGCCGACTTTGTGCATCTAAGGACCACCGGGGGTGTGAGGAGCGGTATCGAGCCACCTGTCGCCGATAGAGCGAACGTACTGGCGGCCATAGACGCAGTAGTAGTAGCCGCGGCGGTTTTGGCTGTTGGGAGACCAGATGATGATATTGTTTGAACTGGCGGCCCAGTTACCGGAGCAGACGCTGAAAATTCCGTTCCGAACGGTGTAGGCAGTGGTGCCCTGGTTCTTCCACACGGCGAAGAAATCGTTGGCGTTGCCGTTGCAGACATAGCTGTTACCAGTCTCGGCGGTCTTAACAACAGAGAAACCACCGTTAATCCACTCAACACCGGCATTGGCTTGCCAGCCAATAGAGAACGACCTAGAAGTAGTATGGTAGGTAGAGCAACCGACATGGCTAGGGCATTGCATGGGTTCCTAGATGTCGTAATGTTAGTAAAGTTTCCGAGATAGGCGAAAGGCGAAAGACGAAAGACGAAAGACGAAAGACGCAAGGCAAAAGCCGGCTATAAAGGAGAAAACTTACACCAAGCTGGATATGCCAAGGGTTCTGGTGGGGGTTTCCGTTACCGACACGGCGAACCTCCGCGTACACTGCGCAGCCACGTTGGCGCTTCTCGAGACCTCCGTGCAGGTTCTCGCGCTTGACAATTTCGTCGATCTCGGTCTGGTTGAGCTCCGGGATCTCGAACTCGGTGGGCACCCCGGCCTCGACCTTGCCCTCGAAGACGTCCATGCTCTCGGACACCTCGAGGGGGCCGTCGGGGAAGCACTCCCTGAGGCTGCGCTTGTTCAGAGACCGCAGGCCCAGGTTCTGGGGGACGGAAACGACGCAGTTGATGGCCAGTTCGGTCTCGCTGGCGATGCGGCCGCAGTCGAGGGCGTTGGCAGCATCACCGCCGCCAATGGTATAGGAGGTAGCGCCGACAGTGAGGTCACCGCCACCGTGTTCGCTGTTAACGTTGAAGACGATAGGGTGGTCCGCGAAGGGTCCCGAGGAGAGGGAATCCGAGCAGGACTTGGCGAGGACCTCGGTCTGGTCGCTGTTCCAGACGGTGATGGCGGCTTGGGCGGCGACTTTGCTGAGTTCCAGGGTGATGTGGACCTCCTGGGACTCCTCAGCGCGGATGACGGGGTTGGCAAAGACGACAGGCGTCAGAGCCAGGAAAACCTCGTTGATTCTCATTGCGAAGGTTGGATGGGCGGCTTCTCGTTGGAAATTGAAGAGGGTAGAATGCTCTGAGATGTGATTGTCCGGCTGAGAGAAGGTGAGAGGCCTGGGGATCAGAAAATTATCCAGATGTTGAGACAGAGCCGTACTTATACGTTTTTCTTGTCCCTCTTCTGGGAGCTCACGATCCCATGTCGAAGCTCGGACGGGGAATCTTTGCCCCTGGTCGAAGCGTAGTCGGAGGAAGCTGGCCAGGCGACGATGCCCGACCTCGAAGCGTACCATCCGCGGAGTTCTGGCTCTTCGCTTCCAATCCATCGCAGCCAAGGAGGCTGGAGCTGTCGGCATCAAGTCCGGTAGGCTCAGGTAGGCTCAGGGTAGGCTCCTCCATCTGCGTTCTTGCCGCGATTCAATTCAAGTGTAAGCACTAGTATTAGACTAGATTCGAGAGGGGCGTTTCTTTCCACAGATGTCCCGCGAAGCGATGAGCGCATGCCATCTCATTACCGGAGATAATTGTGTTGACGGGATAGCCGCCATAACATGCTCATCATGGGCATAGTGAAAACATGACAAAGCTAGTTACAAATTGGGATTTTCAAGCTCCTACGGCACTTGCCATGCTAGAGGTCCATGGACGGGATCCAATTAGGTATGTACCCCGTCCGGACGTAGGGATACCCCCAGGGCCATTTCCAGATGCAGCCTCGAAGGAGCAGTAGTTCCAGACGAGGCATGAGACAATGCTGGGCTCTACATTGTACAGCCGAATGATTCCTTCCCCCGACCTTGATGTCTTGTATTATAAACCCACACTCAAGGAGTGACAGCATCGTCGCTCAATTACCTATGCCTCTAGGAATGACACGTTTGAAGAGTTCTCCCGCGAGTGGTCCAGTTGCGGAGAGCCGATGCCCCTTTAGTGCAAGCATAATTAAGAAGTGTACTAATATCCAAGTTCTACCTACTACCATCGGCCCGTTCCTGATAGGGCTGAGCACCGTTTGTCCATGAAGTGAGAGGGCGAAGTATTTAAAAATAGATTACATGCTTCGGGTGTCGGCTTAAGCAACACGTAAACTACCGCATGCCGCAGGGGACACTGTGACAACTCCTAAATATAGGGATGGCGTATGACTAAGGTACGTAGACGCCGATGGTAGCGTTCCAGGTTAGTATCGCATAGACACGCAATCATATAAACGGGTCTTCCAAATGGGTCCGTTTGGTCGGGTTCAGGGTCCATCCGCCAAATAATTACCCCTGGTTATTATAACTTAACTGTACCTACATGTACCTTACCTATATCGCCCGCCCTAGACAACGTACGAAACATAAGTACGGAGTAAATAACCGAGATCCGCCCCTTGGGGACTTTGCAAGATTCAGGGACCAGGGTCCATACGGGGTTCAACGGGGGTTGACCTCGTACCGTTGAGAATCCTTTCGTGTCGCCCAGTCCATTTGACGTCCAGGCCCTGGGTATGATGTAATTACGAAGTAAACCCACCCCACTCTAAGATATGCGGAACCGACGATTGCGATCACTGCCTGACGTATTCCCTAGCAGTATTTTGGAGCTAGATAGGCGGCATACTGGACGGCAGGTGCCGCGAACGGGATGCTTAAGGTATCCATTCCTTCGGGATCGTGGTCCTGTTCTGGCGTTATGAGATGAGACAACCGCGGCGCTAATCACAGCGCTAGTCAGGCGTACCTATGAGGGAGGATGCGTGGGTGTATTCCATAGTGGTCGGGCGATAATTACCATATAGAGGAAATAGGTAACAGAGTCCTTTTGCACGGTATCCGTATCGTGCTCGCTTTCCTCGGCTCCTGTTTCACGCACGGGCAAAAAGGAATGGTTCTTATCGGTTGAGGGTCTTGTCGAATTCGTACCTATATTGTTAGCGGATTCTAAAGTAAGTATGGAGTAGGTAGATACTCTACTCCGAACCGAAGTCCCAAACGCTCACTTATGATTTGTCCCGTATCCCGTGCCTGGAAGTAGCCTAAACAGATTTGAATTGGTCCTCGAGATGGTTGGATCTCTCTCCTTGGTTACACATGTCAATAGCTCTCTTCTCGTTCGCTTCGGATATCAGTATTGAATTTCTGTCTGTCTTCATCATGGCGCTTCCGGTGACTCTAGGCTGGGCCGTCCAGCTCCAGCTACAATAAAACAGAAGAGAAAAAAAAAAGTCGCCGTGGCTGCAGAATGATTTTAAAGTCATGTCAACTCGACGCACTTGGAGAGCCTTAGCTGCTATGACATTTCTAGTCCGATCATTACCGAGAGCCGAATGTAAATTTTGCATACCTTGGAAAGTCGAGGGTCAGTTTTCGCAACGGAAAGCAGCGACGCCTTGAGAACCCCAGCGCTTTCGTGTGTATGAGTTGAAATAACCCGTATTACTGTTGAGCGTCTAAAACTACACTGACGCTTAAGTTAACATAAGAGGTAGCCGGTCTGGGGCCAGACACAAATTCATACCTTGTAAATACTTCGTATTACAGACGAAACTTGGACGTGATACCGAGCATTCAGGACGTATCCCCCGATTTTGGCCTTACAGCATAAACCAACTCCCAGCACAACTCGAACGCTCGATGTACAGCTAGCTAATAGTTGTGGGCTCTGTGATGATGGATGTGATGATGTAATATTCGGGAAGTCTGTCTGTGTCCAGCCACTATGTACTATGTGGCGTGTACCGCCACACAAGTTCTGATTCACTACGGCAATGCATAAGAGACACTCGGACAGTATCTTGGTGTTAACAATTTCTCTTCTCGGACCTCGGACTTTCCCCGCTCGTCTTCCAAACAACCCGTCGCTTGTTATCACCATAGCCTTGCAACTCATCGTCCACACATGATCACCTGGGGATTCAAGTTCCTGCGCCACTCATGCAGCTGCCAATCACCATCCACGTTGCGCCATCCGTTACGCCGTTGCGCCGTCGAGCCGTCGGGCTGCAATCTTGCATGCGGTGGGTATATTCAGCATGCCCGGGCCTATGGGGTTGGTCATGCCTCATGCCTCATGAATACCTGCAGTCGTGGCAGTCTCTGGATAGCCAGTCCACGCGACCTAGACGACCCAGACGATCCCCGACGACCTCTCGTATTGAGCCACGCATCCAAACGCACCGTTTCTTGTTACCCGCACAACAACTCATGTGTGCTACCTTACCCGTGCTCCTCGTGTGTTGTGTCGTGGATAGGTCAAGTATCCGTCCGCACATTCATCTCTCGCCCAAGGAAACGCAAACCTGATGCTGTGTTACCCTGGCCTTTGGTTCTGAGCGAAATCTTTTGAGACGGGCCAACCAAAATATAGGCGATTTTCGGACTTCTCTCAGAAGCTATCTACTGTGACACCCCGCTTGAGGACGAGAAAATTCTCACCACTTTTCATTCACCACCGTCATTTCGTCAAACATTACACAACAACACCGACACCGGCTTACCCTGGCGAAAAGAATTCAATTAAAAAATCTTAATAAAAGAAGGGAAAAAAAAGAAGAACAGAAAAAAAAGAAGAAACGAAAGGCTGCAGACTTTGTTCGGCCACAAGACCCAGTCCTCCTCCCATTCTCAAGACCCCCGTTATTGCAACCACGCCGGACTCGTCCTTTTGCCCTTCGACATCCGTCAGATGCGTCGTACTCGCTCCCAGTTCCTCTTTCCACGTGCAGAAGTTCTTGACATCAAACTCGGACCTTGACGCCATTGCGATCAGTCTCCCAACGCAACATTGAACGAACTACCAACTGGCCAGCACCATCGCAGCCTCTCGAAACGTGGGTGGTGGATTGTAGGCTTCGGTTGCGAAAAGAAAAGGAAGGAACAAAGACAAAAAGAAGAAGGTGGCTCCGGCTCCGTTCGACCAACAGAGCCTCCTCCACAACATATTGCGCCGAGTCGACCGACCTTGACGCCGCCGCCGCATCTTAACTTGTGGGGGACCCGGCATGCCTTCAATGCCCGCTCCTAGGTACGCGGTGATGTCCCTTTGATCCCTAACGAAGAACCGCCGTTCCGGCCCCGCCCGTTCCGCCCGTTCCGCCCGTTACATGTACCATGCCTTTCCTCGAAATGGTGTACACCGGCAAGGTTGACGGCCACCTCCTTCGGGGCTGTTGTATCGAAGCCGACCGTGCCGACATCGTCTCCCTCTACCTCGAGGGTCTCCGCAATGCCCTCCCGGATCACTTCCATGCCCACATGACCGCCCTCATCGAGGAGATCCATTCCTCCTCCCGCGCCCTGCGAGACTTGGCCGATCAATCGCAGGCCCACCTCAGCCGCGTGCCCATGATGCTGAACTACCTCAACATCGTGCTGCCCTGTCTGTCCAGGACGCTTCACGACATCACGGCTTATTACGAGGACAAGACCGTCTCCAAGGAGATCCGCTGGCGTAGAATGTACAACAAAATGAAGGATGAGGTGGGAGGGCTGCCCCTCCCGCAGCGCTTCTTGATATATAACCACTTCCTCGGCATGCTCAAGTTGCTTCTCACCAGGTTCGTCAAAGCCTGTGCCGCCGCCACAAGGCTTGAATCCATCGGCTAACCAATGACAATGCCAAAAAAAAACCAGGTCGCCCAACTTTGACCTCAACGCTCTTGACTCGCTTCGGTCGCGGATTATGCAGTTGCGGGAAGCCAGAGGGATATGTGAGTACTACCCGGGTCACTCGTCCTGGCCACGTCGACTGACACTGACTCTGCCGGCATGCAGGCCCGCCTTCAGCCCAGGTTGGCCCGGTCATTCCTCCGGAGATGATGGCCGTGATCGGTCCCGTGGACACAGATCCTGTAAGGAAGCCGGCAACCCCCACCGCTATCCAGATTCACTTGCTAACCCCTTTTACCTTGCCCCCCCCCCTCGCGGTTTAGAATGCCCATTGGGCTGAGCAGATCTTCTCGCTCCCCCTCCCTTCGCGAACGGCCCTCAAACATATCAAGCCGTCCACATCTTGGGGTCCTCACCAACCCTTGGGTACTCCTCTGAATACCCCCAAGGAGTCGCAGATCCTCTTCAGACGGTGCGAACCAGGGCAATCTCAACCAAATACGCAACGCAACGCTCGGTCCACACACACTAACGCTTGCTTTCACTGACCATAGGCCTTTCGATGACGATCGCCTTTCTCTCGTGGTCTATCTCAATCTCGCCAACCAATGCGCCTTTCTCCTTATCCGCACCTTCCATATGAACACGCCATGGTTTTCCCTGAGAGGGGCCCACGAGCTCTGCATTCATCGCGAGGGCAGCGCGCTTCAGCTCCGCCGTTGGAGCCAGACCGCACAATGTTCCAAACCATGGGCGTCACTCTACTTTCAGACGTGGGAAGGCATGTTCACAGCCCACAGCCCACAGGGGGGTTCTGAGCTCTGCCCTTCTCGCTTGGCTCTCTACGTGAACCACGAATAGTCGCTAACATACCTGCTACCAGAGATGGTCCTCTTCCACA